TTTATTGAGAGTAAGAGCTATTCATTGATAAAATTAAACCTTTCTTTAAATGAGTTTAAGAGTTTTTAGAAAATATTGAAATAGCTTTTTAAACATTCTAAAGCACCAAAATAATCTCTAATATAATAAAAAGTCATCCCTATTTAATTAAAAATTTAAGGTTACCTTTATTCATAAAAGCTATTTCATTATCAAGTTAAATGGATATCGCTTTTTCAAAAAAATATAAAAGATCTTGATATTTTTAACATTAATTTAGAGTAATTCCTAAAAATTAGAATTCTAGATTAATATCTTTATTTAAGTATACATGAACATAATTAGAATTAATTTAAAGAGTCGCCTTGTCATAGCATTTAAATGTAATCTTATATTTTCATAAGCAAACCCTATTATAACATTTAAATCAATAATGCACATGTTCATCATTTTAGTCTATTGCAAGAACCTTATTCAAGTATTTGGTTTGATTTAATCTATCCTTTTTTAAAAAAATCTTAAAGAGATAGATATTTAAAAAAATGGGATAAATGAATTATTTTGTGTAGTAGAAATTCCTGTACTCAATTAATTGCTAATAATTTTGAAGATTAGACTTATATTTATAAATATATTTATCATTAATTATTGGATTATCAAATTTAATTAATTGCATCAATAATTTATAGTAAGTAACTCAATATTTCAATTTCTGTACTTCATCTAAAATTGTAAAGTAGAGATTAAATCATTATAGACTATTAGTTCTTTAAGTAAAAGTGTAATTTTAAGAAAATGGCTGTATATGAGATTAAAGTATAACAATCATCTGAATCTTCTAACTCAGATTAAGCTCCTCCATAAGATTATAAGGGGAAAATATAAATAATACTTAAGTACAACAACAAAAAGAATTGTATGAATAAAGTTTCATTAAAGGATATCGAATTTTAATTAACAACATATTTTTGTAGTTAATATTTAATATCATTTTTAGTTGAATCTTCTGGCATTTTAATAAAGTCAGTTAATTTTATTACAATTATTTCGATTTAATTTATGATTATTTAAATTGTGATAGTTTCATCAATTCCCTTTTTACTATTAAAGTTATTTTGTTTAATATAGAATGCTTGATTATTAGACTTCTTGGCATATATTTTTTTTTTTAGAAACTATTTAATTCCTTAAGTAGTCTTCAGATCACAATTTAACCGTATATTTTAATTTAGAGATAATATTCTTTATATAAAAACTGGTAATTTTCAATTTGCCACGAAAATTTAGTCCTAAATGTAAATTATTTAGAAATTTCTATATTATTTGAAAAATATCCTAACCATACTCATGAAAACATATAATAGTTAACTTTTATTAAATTAAAATAATTATGAAATTAAACTTAACTTCAGTGCTGGTTTACGATAAAATTTAGACTTTTTTTTATTAATTTCTTGTAATAATACAAGCAGTATTAAAAAGTAAAAAAATAAATAGTCAGATATGTTATATTAAATACAAATATAAATATTTTTAATTATAATCTTAAATTAATTATGTTTACAAATTCAATATAATTATGAAGTTTTCAGCTTTTATTTAATTGTTAAAATGGATTCTCTAAAACAACAACAATTAATTATGCAAGCAAATTTGAAAATTAACCTTAAGTATTTTATTATTTGGAGAAAATTGATTTGTAGAAGGCTGAATTACAGTTTAATCGATTAACAACAATTAAATAAATTGGTTTTAATTATTTTTCGGAGCTCAAGAAGCATTCATTAATTTAGGATTAAATACACCAACTGGATGATATAGCAGTGGAGCATTGTCAATTTAAACAAATAGATGGTTTTTTATTGGTTTGTAAGGTTTTAATTATAATAATGCTAATAATATAAGAATTGAAACATTATTTACTAATATAGACACTAAATTAGTTTATACCTTTGAAGCGCGTAATATTATTTATATAAATCTTAATTAGGTTAAGGAATACCAGAAAAACCAAATAGGAATTCTTAAATTTGGATTGCTTATTAATTTATTATCAATTAATATTCCACTTTAAATTAAAAATAACATTTTTAATTTAAATCAGCGTAAGAACAAGTCATATAGCATTTGATTTAATAATTTTGCCAACCATTTATTTAAAATTAATTTCACTAAATAAAATTTATTCTACGATAAGAAATTATAACTATATTTTGAATGAGTCAGTTAAACCTTTAATTTAATTGTAATTATTAATCTTTGGAGATAAATTTGTTTAAAGAAGTTTAAATTTTAAGAATCTTAATATTAGGGAGTTACCAAATTTTTCTCTAACGCTTAACAATTAATAAAAATTATCAATTTTATTTAAGTTTTTTAGTTTTATGGCTACTTTTTTTTTGTGAATTTATATTTGTTAAAGAGTAAGAGAAAATAAAATCTGAAAAAATAAAACTCAGCTTAATTTAGCTAAAATATATTAAACGCATCAATAAAGAATAATGAATATTATTTAAAAATTAATGAATATGATAAGTATTTTATTATTTCATATATTTTCCCTATTTTTCAACAGTATTAATGAATTCATCATCCCTCAGAATTAAATTATACATTTTGGTGAGTTTGAAACTTATGGAGAGTATATTTAAATCTCTAATAATAAATTTATCTAACTCTAATAATATTCTTGCTTCTCTAAAATAAGGCTTTATTCTAATCCATTCTTATTTTTAATTTAAAATAATTTATCAGAAATACATATTCATTACTTAGAAATTTTGTTTATAATTCTACTTTAAACATTAAGGCATTATATCATATTATAATATATAAAGATTTGTATCTTTAAATTTTAAATATTAAATTTCATTTGTCAAATTATCTTCAGAATTGTCGGATTAAGTAGAATTTAAAAGATTGCTATTATTGTTTAAAATTTACAGAAGCTTTCCACATTATCATTATTTATTTGAGAATTCATATAATGACTCTGAAAAAATGAAGATAGTTTTCTTAAATCAATATTAAACAAGTGAATCTTAACTACAGTTATTTTCCATATTGATATTCCATAGAGATTTATCATCAAAAAAGATACTTAATATATTTATCTGTTCATCAAAATTAAGATTAGAACTAAATGTTTATTAATTTTAAAGGCTGTGTCGCTTTATATTTATCTCAAGCAGAAAAAATTCTTAAATAACTAATTCTAACTCAAACTAGAATTATATTGTTAAAGCTCTATCTTAAATAAATGAAAAATAGATCGACCAAATTTTGTTTTATTGGTTCTCTAAAATTTCTGACATTTTCCTAAATTCTATATTTAATTAATATTCTTATAAAATCATTAATGGAGTTCATATTTAAATTTATCTCTTTGAAAATAAATTCAAATAGCTTATTTTCAAATATTTATTGAAGTTATTTGACCCATTCATTAAAAAAAGATAAAATTTATATTAAAAAAACAATATCTTGATAAGACATCTAATAAAAAGGTTTTTATAAATCCGAGTTATTATAATATATTATAATATTTTTANAACAGTATTAATGAATTCATCATCCCTCAGAATTAAATTATACATTTTGGTGAGTTTGAAACTTATGGAGAGTATATTTAAATCTCTAATAATAAATTTATCTAACTCTAATAATATTCTTGCTTCTCTAAAATAAGGCTTTATTCTAATCCATTCTTATTTTTAATTTAAAATAATTTATCAGAAATACATATTCATTACTTAGAAATTTTGTTTATAATTCTACTTTAAACATTAAGGCATTATATCATATTATAATATATAAAGATTTGTATCTTTAAATTTTAAATATTAAATTTCATTTGTCAAATTATCTTCAGAATTGTCGGATTAAGTAGAATTTAAAAGATTGCTATTATTGTTTAAAATTTACAGAAGCTTTCCACATTATCATTATTTATTTGAGAATTCATATAATGACTCTGAAAAAATGAAGATAGTTTTCTTAAATCAATATTAAACAAGTGAATCTTAACTACAGTTATTTTCCATATTGATATTCCATAGAGATTTATCATCAAAAAAGATACTTAATATATTTATCTGTTCATCAAAATTAAGATTAGAACTAAATGTTTATTAATTTTAAAGGCTGTGTCGCTTTATATTTATCTCAAGCAGAAAAAATTCTTAAATAACTAATTCTAACTCAAACTAGAATTATATTGTTAAAGCTCTATCTTAAATAAATGAAAAATAGATCGACCAAATTTTGTTTTATTGGTTCTCTAAAATTTCTGACATTTTCCTAAATTCTATATTTAATTAATATTCTTATAAAATCATTAATGGAGTTCATATTTAAATTTATCTCTTTGAAAATAAATTCAAATAGCTTATTTTCAAATATTTATTGAAGTTATTTGACCCATTCATTAAAAAAAGATAAAATTTATATTAAAAAAACAATATCTTGATAAGACATCTAATAAAAAGGTTTTTATAAATCCGAGTTATTATAATATATTATAATATTTTTATTTTTTTCAAGTTTTAATTAATTAATTCCTAGATCTATATATAAAAATGAAATAAAAACAAATACCTGATAAACAATATAATTCATAAAAATATTAACATTCATAATATTCATAGTATAAGCATTAAATAAAATACAATTATTCTAGTTTGTCTAATAAAAATGATGATTTAGATGATAAACATTTATCAAATAAGCATTTCTTACAAAATTCTTTAGAAAACTTATTAATATAATTCAAAGTAATGTTTCGATATCCCATTCTTTAAAATATGTATTAGTAGAATCTAAATTTTTGATTAAGCAACAAAAGTAAGTATTATTAGAATTTTTAATCTTTAATTGAAATTATTTCAATTATTAATTAATTAAATAATTTTATTATAAAGAATCTTCATAAAATTTTGCTTGAATTTGGTTACATAGTTTTTATAATAATAATATAGTTATACTATTTTGTTTATTTAATAGATTGATGTTGAAAATATAAATATATAAAATTAAATTAATATTTTATGAATTCTTAAGGTTTAAATTTTGAGATAAGCTCTAATTTGATTCCCTGGAGTGAAGGCATAGAAGAAGTTGAAATTAAAAAGAAAAATTTATTTAATAATATTTTAGTGAAGGAAAAGATAGAAATAAACTTAACTCAAGATAATAAAATCATATATTTAAAAGATGGAGCAATTTTAAAAATGTAAATATGAATTATAAGTTAAAAGAGAGAATAGATTAATAATAATTCAAATCTAGAAATATTATCTTGTTTGGAATAGATAAAATATCTTTTTTGGTAAGGTTAAAGTGGATTAGATGTTGCTTTTTGCTTTTTGGAATGGTGAAGAAATGGTAAAAGTTAAAGGGTACTACATTGATGTTATGAAATAAGGTTATTGGATAGAGTTAATAAAAAATTACTGGATGTATATAATGTTATTTATAAATAGAAAAGCTCAGGTTTTGAAAGTTGGAATATTAAATGATGATTTAAAAATAGGTATGTGGAATTATATTTACAAAAACTATAATATGTAACTTTATAATAAATTTTAGTAATGGTGGTTAATACAATAATTAAGGAAAGAAAATTGGGAAATGGATTGAATTGTCAGAAGTATTTGGAGATTGCAATTAAGTGACTTTTAATTGAGAATATAATAAAAATGGAAATAAAATTGGTATATGGGATATTATGTTTAAAGGAACTCATAATAAATCAAAATATGAATAAATGTGATTAAATTATAAATTATTTTAGTGGTGGTGGTTTATATAATGAATAAGCAGGAGTTTCAAGAAAGGTTGGGAAATGGATAGAATTGAGTGAAGGATTTCAGAAAAGAGTTAGGTTATATATTTAGGTGAATATAGTATGAAGGGTGATAAAAAAGGTAGATGGGATATTAAATAGTAGGGAAAATAAATGTAAAGAATAAAATTATATTAGTAGTGGAGGTGGATTATATTATGAATAAGAAAATAATAAATCTATAAAAAATTGGAAAATGGATTGAATTGAGCGATAGATTTTGGAATGAGAGTTAAATTATTTATATAAGTGGATATAATTTATTTGGAGAGAAAAAAGGTAGATGGGACATTATTTATTAAGGGAAAGAAATGTAAATGATAAATTTATGTTAGTGGTGGTAGATTATATAATGAATAAGAATATAAATCTATCAAAATTGGAAAATGGATTGAGTTAAGTGTGGAGTTTTTATCAATGAATTAAGTTATTTATATTGGTGAATATAATAAGAATGGTAAAAAAGTTTGTAGATGGAATATTTATTTTAAGGAACCTTATAGAAATTAAGAATATAAATAGATAGAAGAATGGGAGAATTTGGGATATTTAAAAGAAGTTGTTTATATTGGTGAATATAATAATGAAGGACATAAAATAGGGAGATGGGATATTTTATTTAGAGGATAATAAATGTAAGATATTTGAAAATGAAGATAGTGGAGGAGGAGAATATAATCAATGGAAAGGAAGAACAAGAAAGATAGGGTAGTGGATTGATATTTAGGATGAATTTTGGGTATCTTCATAAATTACTGTTCATGATAAATATAATCTCAATGGATAAAAAATAGATTAATGGAATACAGAGTATAAGGGTAAAATAATGTAAATAAATAATAAATATTATTTAGTGGTGGTGGATCATATGATTAATAAGATGGATATACAAAAAAGATTGGAAGTTGGATAGAATTTTTGGAAGAATTTAAGGATTGGAATTAAATAACTTATAATGGTGAATATAATTAATAAGGTATAAAAATTGGTGTCTGGGCAGAAATTGATATAAAGAAAAATGTTGTGATTAATTAAAGTAAATAATATAATTGATAATTATAATTTTTTTTATCAATCCAATTATAATTTTATACTATTTACCTTATATGGAAATTATTAAACTAACATTCTAAGTAGGTATGAATAATAATAATAATTAGAAAACCTTACTTTATATTTTAAAATGATAAATTTAGATGCTTTAAGAGAATTAGAGACAAGAATGTATATGTTATATAATAAAATACAAAGTTATTAATTTATTTCTATTAAATACTGTAAAAACTATACTAAAATAATGAAAAAGATATCTGAGATTTTAAAAATATTGATCAATCTTTGATATCACCTATCTATTTTTTCGGCTTCTTTGAATACAATGCTGGGCATTATCACTCAAATATAATAACTAACTCTTAATTGCTGCAACTTTTAATAACATAAAGATCTTTTAATTTAAAAATGGATAATTAAAATAAATGAAAGAAATTTTTAAACATAGCAGTTATGTTACAACTCTAAATTTCTTTTTGATTAATTCAAAATTTATATCTGGTTCAAGTAATTCTAAAATAATTATATGGTCATCACAAATATATCTAACTCTAAGTTTATTTTTAAATTAAGTGGACATTCTGCATAGATTAATTTTTTACTTCTACACCCAATTTTCCAAGATTTAATTATAAGTGGTTTAATGGACAATTCAATAAGATTTTGATCTGTTTATAAACAATTAAAGTGTATACATAACCAATTTGGGCTTTATCAATTAATTAAAAAGGAAGTAAATTGATTTCTTGTAGTTAAGATAAGTAAATTTTAGTCATTGAAAATAATGATTCAAATATTTGGTAAATTACATAAAAGATTATTTTGGATAAATTTGGAGTTAGATTATGTTTTTTAAATGATGATATATTTGCATTTTAACCAAATTAAAATGATATGTATCCATGAAAAGGATTTAAATATCTTTATTTAAATTTAATTCTACAAAAAGAGAATTTTAAAAATATAAAGATATTCCAGTTCATGGTGGTAAATAAGTATGTAATATATTATTTACTCAAGTTTATATTCCTTCAAAATAAATTCTAGTCTCAAAAAATTGAAATAAAGTCAACTTAATAAAAATTATTTTCAAGTCTCAATCTAAAATATTAGACTGCATATTAGATAAAACTATAGATTTTTGTCAAAATAAAATCGGTTGGTTATTTGGAACTATGAGTAACAATGAAGAATTCTTAATAACTTGGGAAAGATTGCTGGAAATAAAATAAATAGTATGAAGGATATATTATGGATATTAATTATTTAATAATTTTATTGTTTATTAATGGATTTTGAAATTAATGCAATTTATAAAAATATAATATCTCTCATATCTATCTTGAAACTCAATTAACTATTAATAAATTCTATTTTTCAACTAATGATGTTTTTGAAAATCAATATTATTGATTTTTCTAATGATGAAAATCAATTTATTTCTGCATCAAGAAATTAATTGATTTGCATTTAATAAAATTGGTATAGATACCCAGTTGAATAACAATCATCAAATAAACCCAATTTTTTCTTTAATAAAATTGAACATATATTTATATAAAGTAGAATAATTAAAGTGCAGTTTACTTAAAAAATACCAATTTTGTATTGATAATCAATATTATTTTTGTGTATATAATCATAATCAAAGTATTAAGAATTCAATTAAAATTGAGTTTAGAGAAAATTAAAATTGGATTTATTTTAGTTTCTTTACTAAAATATTTAATTTAAGATATTTCTTTATTTTATATTATCTTATTCTCCATTATCAGTTATTTTTAAAAAGATGAAAATTAAAAAAATTAACTACCTAAAATTAAGCCCTTAACTTTTTAATTTTTAAATTGCAATTTTAATGAATTTGATAAGAGATTTAAATTTGAAATAAATTAAATATTTATATAATACTAAAGTTAAAATAATATAAATATTACTAGTATATACAATAAATTTAAGTTTGATTTTTAGATTAGATAAATAGAAACTAAAATAATAATTAATTTGATACTGAGTATTATTGTTGAATAAAAAATCGTTTATTAAAAAATTAACTTTTATTTAGAGTGGATTCCTTATTTATTGAATTGATTTTTTTATGTTAATAATTTTTGTGTTATTCAAAATGTTTGGAGACCAATATTGCTTTTAAATTATAAAATTACCTTAAGATAACATGACTTATAGAAAAATGATTAAAATAGAAGAAAACAATTATAAATAGAAAGCTGTATAACTTTTGGAATATGGTCAAAATATCTTCCATTAAGTATTTTAAATTTCAAAAATCAAAATGGTATTTTTTAAAGTAATTGCTATTAACTAATCAATATAATGGATGATAAAAGTAAAAGTTTGAATTTTATTTATTTAGAATGTTTAAATACTTCTTAAAAACAATTATGAAGACAATAAATTTTATAAATGATCAAGATGAATTATTATAGATAGAGAAAGATATTGAACTTTAGAATATGAAACCATTTGGTATCATTTCAAGTTATTATTTTGGCCATTAATAAAAAAGTTAGAATTAATAATAGTTAAATCAGATAAAATAATATATGTAAAAATTATAGATAATATTAAACTATTCAGATAATAAGATAATTACTTTTGACTTTTGGAGGGACATTTGAGGTATAAATAAAGAATTAAAAGATTAATGAATTTTAATAAGGAAAGATATTTTCTTTGTTTCCAGGAGTGATTGTAGTAGATGATTTAGATATAGATGCGATACCTATTAATTTTGATATTGAAAAATAAATAGTTGAATAATATTTGAGTTTAGATGAATGTAATTGTTAAACAAACGAATAAATTGAATTGGAGGATGTAGAATTATATTAACTTGATAATAAAATATTTATTTCTCATAATACTAATTGTGGTTCTTATATATTAAGTGTGTGGTTAAGAGTATTAAAAATAGAAATGGAATCCGAAGAATTTAATTATTAATTTATGAAATTGCCATCAAATACATAGAATTCATAGTAATTAAATGACAATATATCAACCTTTTAATTATTTTATATCTTCTAGTGAAACTAAATTATTGATAACAACTTATACATATGATTTTCCTATTTTCACATCAGATTCATTAGATAGTATTATAATTATTGAGAGAGAATTTTTGCTATAAAAGGATAACATTAAGTTTTGGCATTATTTATTTATAGAACTATAAGATTATTTAATGAATATTGAAATAAGTTATTATGATTTAAGTAAGGTCTTATTTTAGGAAGCTAAAGTTGAAGTGAAATAATTTCATAATTGTTAATTTATTTTAAGATATGGTAATGTTTAGTAGAATACTAAAAATTATTTAAATATGTAAGTAGGAAATTTATAATTAACAAATTGTAAAGAAGATTAAAAGATAAAAAAATGTCATTATAGTTGTTTAGATTGTGATGGTCCTAATAAATCTAATTGTTTAATCTTGTTCTATTGAATCATAGAGGATTTATGATGCTTAATTTAAACATTGCATTTGTCCATATTCTACAATCGATTATAATAAAATATGTATTACTAATGTATTTTAAAATCTATAAATAAAACAGAAATAATAGAATAATGTAAATAAGGATATTTTGAATTAGATGGAGATTGTATAAGATGGTATTGTTTATTTATTAATTATTAGTCCATCTAGAATAAAAGATGATTTAATAACATGTTATGATTGTTTTCAAAATATAAAAGATTGGAAGACTTAAATAAATACATTATTATTTGAATCTGACAATTATTTATATGAAAACTAATGGATAATGTTTTATTGTTATTTTGAGATAACTTTAGGATAAACAATATTTGGATTTTATAATTCTTAATAAGTTTTGCCACTTTAGATTGTAAATGATCTACCTCAATTTTTAGATAAAATAAAACATAATGTTGGAAATGTTTATTAGTACAAAGATTAGGAAGGAAAATTGATAATATTGAGTTAATTTAAAGGACGTCTTTCCAGTATTTTTTCGGGCAAGCAGGATAATGTGTTTTTAGATTTATAATCATGTTCTTAAGACTTTTTATCCTATGTAACATGCTATAGTTGAATTATATAAAAGTTAATACTTAAGAATTTGAATCATTTAGATATGTAATTAAAGGTTGGATAGTGCTAAGTCAATCAATAGAGAATTACTTAGAGACTGTTATTTTTAGAATAACTATTAATAAAGATGATAGTGATGATTTACAAATTGATGATAGAGATATCTTTTTAAAATATTATTAAAGTATTATATCTTCAGAGAATGGTTTTCAAATATCAACTTATTCAAATTAATTTCCTCTTAAAAAGAGATACAAAACAAATGAAGAAGATACAATTTAATAATTTGGAGATGAATATTCAGAGTTGCTTATAAAATAGCTTTATTTTTAATATGAAATAGGAACATAAAACAATAATGGATAATCATAATTTTAAATATATTTCCCTTCAATTAATTAGGTTAGTATATGTACATGGAGTAAACCAATTCATCATTTTTCTGGATCTAAATTTTATATTTTTTTAGGAGGAGATGATTATACATAAAATTATTTAAAAGGATTTGTAAGTGATATTTACTTATAACTTTTATGTAAACCTTACATTGATGTTTATAAGCTTACATGTCATTATTCTTGTTTAAATTGTGATGGACCAACAAAAACAACTGTATAACATGTCCTGAGTATAGTTTTAGATAACTTTCAAAAAAAGAAAAATGTGTGCTTGTTAATAAAGATATGCTGATAAAGATGGTGTCTAAGAATGTTAATCTGTTATAAAAGCTTTCACTCTTATATAAATTTAAGAGATAAAACTAGATTTGCTAGATGATAGAAGGTTTTTATTTTAAAAACAAATTCTATTATTTTAAATAATAAATTTATCTCATGTGTGGATAATTGTTAGAAATGTGATGGATTACAATTCTGTTATTATTGCAAAGGTTCACCTTCATAATATTATCTATCTATTGATGGGAAAAATTGTATTTAATGTAATATTCAAAATTGTATTTACTGTTTTGACTATATACTTAATGGAGGTATAATGTAAACCACCTTAAATATTAATTTTAAAGTTATAAATTAAAATATTCGTTCAGTAAATGGGGGCTGTGCTTTATGCAAAGAGAATTATCATTACAATTAAAATAAATAAGTAGAAGATTTAAAAAAAATATGTATCTCTTGTATTCACAATTACACAGAAAATGATTCATTTTGCATAATGTGTGAAGAAGGATATTATGCAGGAGTTTTAATAGGTTAATGTACATAATTTGGATAAATCTGTAAGACATGCATTCAATAAAATTAATAATATATTATTGGAAATGGAATATTAAAGCCTATTATAAACATTTTATAAATTATAATAATGATCATTCATTTGAAAATTATGCATCAACAAATTCTGAATCTGATTTGAATTTAATTTGTACTTCATGTCATTATGGTTACATTCTATATCATTAAAAATGCATTAAAGATTGTGATTCAAATTGTAATAAATGTGAAATTATTGATGGATAAGCTACTTGCATATAATTTTTGGAAGCTTCTCTGGCTTTTAGTAAATCTTCAAATCAAGATTGGATTATGTATCAAATGTCCTTCTAATTGTAAAGCATGTTTAGATAGAAGTGATTAAGAAATCCAATAAGTCAATCCATACTTTATTTTAACAGACTAAAACAAATTTTAAACTCGAATATGCTTTGAAAAGTCAATCTTATACTAATTCATAAGAAAAATATCACTATGATTCTTTAACTTAAACTATTGTAGTCTGTAACAAATTTGATAAATGTTATAACAAAATTATGATTCTTTAAAACCTTTATTGTGATGGTAATGACTTTTATGATTTATATCTATAATCAAATGATGAAAATTTTATGGTCAAAAATATTCTTCTTTTCCGCTTTTTTTAATACGATTATTTAATTATACTAGAAACTCCATAACTTTTTGATTATTTATACGATATTTCAGTTAGGCATGTTTAATTTGAATTCATCATTATTCAAGGTTTTAATTAAGGTTGTGAATTTAGCAATAACCTAGAGTTTTTTTCTACATTAGCTTAAAAAATATTTTCTCTATAATAAATGGATATTAAATTTAAGGGAAAAAGAATATATTGACATAATCCAATCTATTTATCTATTGCTTCATAAATAATAATTAGTAATTCTAGAATAATTTTGCATCATTTTTTCAAGAAATGTAATCAACTTACAAGATTGTAGTATAAATTAAACACTTATAGAATCAAGTATGTTAATTCAGAATAATATTGAGTATATGAAATGATAAGCAGCTTTGAATTAATCCTAATATATCCTAATAAAAAACCTTAAAATAATAAATTCTAGCTATAATAATAAATAATAAATCTAAAAAAATATTAAATATGATGAAATTTATTAATTAATGTTTAATTTATCTAATTTTGAAATGTCAAATTGTTTTTCTATTAATAAAATGTAAAATACTCAGATTTATTTTGATTAGGTTATGATGTACATTGAATGCTAAATTTGTAATTTAGAAGAAATTTATATTTAGAGAGGTTATGGATTGCCTGAAATCTGAAATGACAATTCTTTATGCTGAAACTCTTGAAATCAGAAACTTTTTAGTGACTTAGAATTAAAGGTATTTTTAAAAAGTCTTACATTCAACAATAGATTGTGTATAACAATTAGCTATTTTTGAATTGTATTTCTTTCTTATGTAGGTTAATACTAAAATATTTTAATAGATAATTTAAATGTTACAAGTTTTTTAAGCTTTAATACTCCATTGATTATTTTTTAAGGATATGGTTTAATGTAGAGATTTGTTGAAGAAAAAATTTATATTCAAAACTCCTTTTTTTCTTCAAATTTATTAATTGTTGCAACGTTAAATAAAAAATACAGTACTAATTTCTTTAGATTCAAAGCAAAAAGGAATCATAACTTTTTAAAATATAAATATAGTTTTTTATGACAACCATTTAGATGAATATTTTTATGCTTTATCTTAGTCTTCTTCAGCTACATTATTTTTGTCACTTAAATATGTTAAATATGGTAGTCATAGAATATAAAGTTGCTAATTTTTATAAAACTTGGTCACTAATTCAACTAATTCAATCTTATATATGATTCATAAAATATAAAAAATTCTTAATTTTAAAATAACAACATTTTGAATTATTCATCTTTGAATAGATATATATTATTAAAAAACACTCAAGATCTAACAGATATTAATTTTTAATTCATTTTTCCGATCAAATCAACTAGTGGGAATGGTATGCTAATATCTAAATTAATTATGATTGATAGTTTAAAGATAAATTTTAGGGAATAAGCTTTATTAATATAATAAATTCGGCTTTTCTCAATAAAAGAACAACTTTGTCTTCCTTATATTTTCAAAAGGAGGATGCTTTTACATAGATGCTAGTTCATCTGTATTGACTTTAAACATTAAAAATAACAAATTTGATTCTATTTATAGTAGATCTGATGGTGGTGCAATATACATTATTCCATCTGAATCTTCTAATTTAATAGTCTTCGAATAATTATTAGTGAGAGATTGTTTTTATATGTAAATTTAATTTGTCTCTTATACTCTTTCCAAAAAGGATTTGGTTAAATCTAAAATAAACTTTTAAAATATTGATTTTTATTCAACCAAAGATGGAATAGAAAATTTTTATCTCACATTTAGATAGCATATCAAATGATGGGGTTTCAATTGTTACTCACTCAAGCCCTTTAATTTTTGTTTAATTTGGTAACTTTAGCTTTTATAATTGTACCTTTCTAATCTATTTATATACAATTCTTAATGAAAATTGTAAACTTTTTTGTAACTTCAATAATTATATAAAAATTATCTAATTTAGAATACAGGATTTATAATTAACAATCCAATAATTTAGAATAAAATTTAATATAATGTAATAATTTAATTAATATTTTTAGAATCTTTTGGAAAAATACAAATATTCAATATTTAAATCTCCTAGGTATTTCAAATTTAAGTAAGTGAAAAAAGAGAATGTTTGCCAATTAATCCAGAATTTTTCACTCAACTAGAATGTCCTATGAAAATAAATAAAATTAATACTTAAATTACAGAGACCAATTCTAATGCTTAAAATTTAATAAAATTAATTTTTAATCAATTGAAGATATTTTAAAATCCACTTCTAATTTTAGTTTAATTGAAATTAATAAAATCAATTTAAAGCATAGCTTACAAGTAGAGTAGTTATAAATTTAAAATATTTAATGCAAAAAATGCAAATTGAGTTTAGTTAGAATTTTTGATATTGAATAATTAAATGTTGAAAATATCAAATTTTCATAAATTCTTATATAAAATAGCAAATGTGGAAGGGCTGGTTGTTTATTTATTACTAAGAGTATTAATGATTTTATTATTTTAAATTTACCTTCAAATTATCGAATATTACAATTGCACGATTACTAAACTTTTATTAATGAAATGGAACATTAAGTGATTATAGAAAACAGCTTATTCCTAAATAATTCCGCCTCTTTTGGTGGATCACTTTTAATAGGGTTGAAAACAAAATTGTATTCAAACGCATTTTCAGAAAAAAAATTTGTTCATTATTTCCATATTTTTTTATGTTTTTTTACTATTTTTATCTGATTCAAAATTGAAGACTAAACTTTAGCAGTTAGAACAAGAAAATAACCTATATTTTCTAAAAATAATAATTATAATTCTTCCTTTTAAATATAATCATAAGTCTAATAACATATAGTATTATACATTAATCAAAAATTCATTAATTAAATTAAAAAAAATTAATAAAAATAATAATCAACAAAATTTAGACATTAAGGAATATATTTAAGATTTGAGAATTGGTTAGAAGAGAATATTGTAACAATATATAATAATATTATTATAATAATTATAAATAATAAAGAAAAACCAGATATGAATTATTTTCATATTTTTTTTCAAACATATTTCATTTATCTTGAAATTCTTTTTCTAATTCAGTCTACCTGATACGAGCCAATATTGCTTCAATTTAACATTACTTTTCAATCCATTCATCACAAATGATATCAATTTTGTATTATTTATGCCATTCTAAATAATAATAATTTTTTACCATTCATGAATCTCATAGATCGAAGCCTGATAATATCTAAAAAAACATTGTACATATCTTAACAAAGACTTGGACTTCCTTATAATTCATTTTCAATTTCTAATATTGAATGTAATTATGCAAATTATTCCTCTGAAATTGCTTCGACTTTGAATCTCCATAAACTTTCATAATTATCCTTAAATAATAATTTAAGATATTCAGAAATTTTTATTCCTACAGGATTCTTTTCAAATGCATCTTTAAATTATTATGATTAAAAATCCATTTTATTTACAGCATTGATTATATTCATTCTTGTGGTCATGAATTCATTGTTTAATTCTCCAGCTAATTCTCCAAAAACATAATCCTTAATTGGCTACATTTCAAGTTGAAATTTTTCAACTTGCTTTTTTATTTTATCCAATCTATTTGATAAAACAGCTTAGATTGTTTAATCAGCCTTTTTGCTCAAGCATCTTAATTTTAATATCTATTTATATTCTAGAAAATTGAAGATCTTTCCTATTAATTCAGGTCTCAGTTTAAAAATTCCCTGAGTTTACTACTATTCTTATTCAATCTATTGCATCGATTATCAACAAAAATTATTCTTAATAAAAAAAAAACAAAAAACTGATTCATAAGTTTATCACCCAATAATTCTTAAAGCTTTGTATATTCATAAATATACATCTCTTAGATTATTATATTAAAATTTGTTTTAATACTTTTTTTTGTATTCAAAACTTGTTTTCTATTAAATTATTGTTACAAAAGCTATTAATCTATATAAAAATATTTTTTATTCTCTGTATGAATGAAAAAAAGAAGGGATTATGGAAATATTCTTGTATAATATTGTTTAATCCTCAATATCAATTAATGTTAAATAAGCAATGTTGTTTTAGTAAATATGTGTAAATATATTTTGAGCTCATTAGATTTTTTCTTATTTTAGAGTGAGATGCAAATAGCTAGTTATTTTTTAAATGGAAATAAATATGTTATCTAGATAAATATTATAAATATGTTAAATATATATTGATTATAAAATGGTCCAAATTAGAATTGATAGGAATATAGGATTTCTAATAAATAATTTATAAGTTGAAATGATTAGATTAGATTAAATATATTAAATGATTATAAAACTAGTTTATAATAAGGAAATACATCTGTTCAAATTAGAGAATCCAGTTCTTGAATAAATAAAGAATCATATTATAAAATTACATCCTTAAATAAATTAGAACTATAATTTATTTTATAAAGATGATGATGGTGATTCAATAAGCATAAGTTCAGATGAAGATTTAAAAGTTTTAATGGAGAGTGTAAAGAATTAAACTGTTAAGATTACGATAGAACCATTTAATACATGGATTTGCAAATATTGTACATTTGAAAATTTAGATGGAATTATTTGTGGAGCATGTTCTTAATATAAAGAACCCGGGCCTTAATAATAATAATAATAATAATATGTTTAATACAATTAACCATAATATCCAGCATAATCTTATCCTCCTTAATAATATCTTTAATAACCTCCTTTTATTCCTCCATAACATTTTCCTTAATTTGGTATGATTCCTCCTTAAATGCCTCCTCATTTAGGATAATTTGAATTTGGACATCCACCTCATCATATGTTTGGAGGTTTTCATCATCATTTTAAACATCATCATCGTCATCATCATATGAAATGGCATAAATTAAAAGAAATAATGAAGAATCCTTAATTTAAATAACAAAAAGAAAAACTATAGCAATTGTTAAAGGAAGTGAGTTAGACTTTAAAAAATACAATAGGAAATCAATAGTATTATTAGTATAATAATTAATTAATTAATTTAATAGATATTAGTAATAATGGCCTTGGAGTGATTTAGATGAATAAAGGGCAACTAGATTAGCAGAAGTGTTATAATGCAATTAAGAATAAGCAAGAGAATATTTAATGATATTCAGAGACTTAACATTAGATGAAATAGTTATGATGGTAGAAAATGCAGAATGATTCATTAAATACATATAATATATATGGAATTAAAAATTGATTTCTATATTTAATTAATTTTATAAGTGTTACATATGTAATATCAAAATTAAATAAAATAATTAGAAAATGTAAGTGAATTATGAAGCTTTGATAGATGGTATAAATAAATATATGATTATAAATAGAGGCTAAGAATAAGATGCTTAAATGGTAAGAAATAAATGAATAGAATATGTGGGAATTATATTCAAATAAAGATGGATATATTGTGTATACAAAGAAGAATCCAGAAAATGGAATAGCAATGAATAGGACTTAAACAGAAATAGCAAGAACACCAGATTAAATATTAGATTTGGTAGGAGATGTGAATAAAAGACCATTGTATGATGAGAAGATTGAAACTGTATAATAATAGATTTATTAACATAGGCTCATGTGATTGAATAAATAGATGCCAATACTAGAATTGTTTATGTTAGAATCAAACCACCCATTCCTTTTATGAATAGTAGAGATTTAGTAATGGTTCAGAAGGTCTATAAATAAAATGATGGCATATATATTGTTTGTTGTAAGAAAATCATTAAACTTTATAATAGCTAAATCAATCATTCATTAGAAAACTCCACCTATTCACAAAGTTGAAAGAGCAGAAATGCATTTAAGTGGTTGGATTATCATACCTCAACCAAATCAAGTATATAGCTAATCTTTAATATTTAGATGACTAAAATCATTGCTATATAGTGTTTTGATCCTAGAGGTGATGTACCATAATCAGTGACTAATCAATATGCAAAGTTGTAATCAGACATGATGAAAGCAGCAGTAAAATATATTGCACTTAATTATAAATGAGTATTCATCATATATAATCATTTATTAAACATATATTTCACAATGCACTTTTCTATTTTTCTAAGTGGTAACTTTATAAACAACTAAAATAACAATGAGAGTGAAAATTCTTAAAGTTAGTTAGGCATTCTATAAAATTAGCCAATTACTCTAATACTATTATTTAATTTATAAAAAAACCTGAAAAGGAAATCATTCTTTCGATGATTTAGACTGTAACAAATAATAAAATTGTCACAACCATAAATTCAAATTTGCATATCATATCATATCAATCAAACACAAAATATGTAATTCAACTAATGATATTTTGAATCACTGAATTATTTATAATATTAGTCCAAGAAACCTGTTGAAATTGATTAACTTTCTTAAAATTAAACTACAATTAATCATCAATCAAATAAAATCACTTGAAGACTGCGATTAATCATCATTGAAATAAATCATCTATCTCTTGGATAACATAATAAATAAAAAATGGGTATTAGTCCCATATTTATATTTATTTTGAGACTCAAATTTCCTTATCTCTTTCTTACACATAATCCAAAATCAATTTAAGCTATATTTCTATAGTACTTCTAAAAAATTATATTAACATACTATATTTAATAATTTGATAATACATGTTTCATAATTAACTTATATACGGCCAAGTAGTCTCATAATGCTTCTTTTATGTTTTTAATAAGAGTGAATTTATATAATACTAGCAGGAATCCTTTTATTCAATTACAATTGGTATATGTATATATATATATTTTAATTAATATAATTTAGTGAAAATAGCTAATTAGCAAAATTCAAGTAAAAAAATACTTACATAGAGATATTTAATGATAACCAAATTTGAGCAGATCATTTTGATTTATTAATGAAAAAAGATAGAAATTTGTCAAGGTCTAGAAGAAGTCCATCTTCATAACTCAAAATCAAAAAGACTCATAAAGGTAAGCAAAAGAAAAACCGTAATTCACAAACATCATCATTTAATACTAACTCATAATCACAAGAAAAGTAACTTAATTTTAGAGAAGAAGGGAAACTTCTTTATTTCATATAGAAACTAGAAGCTGAAAAGGAAAAGAAAGGTATTTGTCTGAAATTAAGTCACCTTAGTATATAGGATACCTAATCAACAGGTAATTTATATGTATCCATTTTTAGTGACTATTAACAATGATCTGAACCATTCATAATTGAGGAGATAAATAGAATACAGTAATTACTATCACTAAGAATTTCAATAATCAATAATCGATGAGAATGTCTATCTTGGAGATTGTCTTGAAAATCAAAAGATTTCCCACTAACTTAGAGCAAAGATGATTGATTGGATGATTGAAGTATTAGGAAATTATAGTGAAACCACTTCCGATGCTACTTTCTTCAGATCAGTTGCCATCATGGATTATTACCTATAAAAATCAATCACCCAATATTCAGATAATCATCTTCATCTTATTGGTATCACCTCCATGTTTATAGCTACTAAACTTGAAGACATTCATCATATTCCTTTATAAGACTTTGTTGTTAGGGTCAGCCATAATAAATACACAGCGTATTTTTTCCATTTATACTAGGTCTAAAATCAAAGCCATGGAATAAACAATTTTAGAAACCTTGAATTTTGAAATCACTTTCCCAACTTCATTGGACTTTTTACATAATATCTTTTACTAATGTTTTAGCTTAAATCATAAGTAATCATTTTTATTAAATTTTAGTCCAAATTTATAAAATATTTTAGAAGCTAGTACCTATATCTTAAAATTATGTCTGCATGACTATTCTATGATTTCATTCAATTCTAATACTCTGGCATCTTCTTCATTCATTTATTCTATCAATTTCTTTCTCAATTAACATAAGTTACCTAATCAAAAGTTAATCATCAGCCAATTTGTAATTTATTTATGCTATATCTAGAATAATAAAATTGTGTAAATTTCATAAATTGATTTAAACGACCTTTATTTATGTTAGAAAAAGATAGAAGATTTAATAAATACTTTCTAAATTAAGTATCCTGAATTTCACAATTTAGAAAAGTTTCTATGATATAATTTATTCAATTTTTTTTTTATTTAAATTTAATACATATAAAATCAAATAAATCTAAAAATTTTTATATTAAGTAACTTAATTTTAAGTTAAACCAAAAATTTAAGACCAAATTTTAATAATAATCAAAGCCATATTTTGAAATAGTTCAATAAAACTTGATCAAACTTTTATTAAATGGATTTTATTCAGAATTCATAAAAAATTGTTAGTAATAGAGAATATGATTAAAACAACCAAGAATATTAAAGAAGATCAAAATTATAAATTAGTCTTATAGTTTTTTGGATTCAAATTGAAAAAACAGACTATAGATACCTTAGCATCAAAATAAAATCATGAAATATTTAGAAGAAACTTTAAATAGAAATAGATATTTTAAAAATCGAATGATTAAACAAATAAACATTATGTTTAAATGATATAATCATTTTTTAGTTGATAAATTGGAATTAATTTTAGGATTGACAGATTTGAATTTTTCCATTTTAAAAGGTTCCTTCTTTTCTACTCCTTAAATGGCAGCTAACTTTTTGTGATTGGTATCATAAAATAATTAAGATGCTTTGTTTCCTTTGACCATTGAAGTAGTTAATTTAGAATCCTAAAAAAAATTTATAGCATAATGAATATACTTATGATCCAGCTCTTTATTGATATTTATCCAACGTGATTGATTCTGCATCTATACCATATGAATTGCCCATAACTAATTTCATGGGTGTTGATGGTCTTAATTAGAAGTAGTAAATTACCTATTTTTACGACCATAGCGAAATTCTTCTTCTGGTAATTCGATAGCTGAAATATTAGTACCTTTCTTTATTTTAAGTCTGGCATCATGAGTTTATCTATACTTATACATATCCTGTTTGAGTAATGAATAAATCAGTTACATGTGCTTTGACTGAGCCATTGTGTATAGATTATTTATTGAGTTCAGCAAAATCTCGATTGGGTACTTTATCTTGAGATTCCTGATGAAATTTCCAAGTCATTGTAACTGAGTTAATTGCGATGATTATAAATACCTTCTTTGGCTCCTTCTTTGTCTCTTGATAATGGTTATCCATAAATGAAATCTTAATTGGGGAGGTTATATGTAGATGGCTTGGCCTTTCCGACATCATCTTTCATTAAGAGAGGATTTGAATGATTGTTGGAAAATGGAGGTGTTGATTACATGTATTAATTTATTATTAATAATCTGTTTTATTTATTTTTATTATAATAAAAATAATGGAAGTCAACATATTTTTATTTATATATTGTACAATAATAACATTATATTTGATATAGAAAATATTTGCAAGCAGAAATAATAATAATCATAACTTGGTTTAGGATTTAATGTAAGAAATAGAAAATTTAAAGAATGTTAATAATAATCAAAACTAATTATAAAATTCTCAAGTAACTTAAATAAAATAACACTTTACTGAGTTGACTTAGATATAGGATGATTTTCAGAAAAGTATGCAATTATGAATAAGAATAGAATTATTGAATACTCAGATAAAATTGATGTAACATGTAAATAAAACATATTCTTAGAAGACAAATTCTCAACATAATAATTCAGTGTTATCATAAAGGGATCAATCAATTGAGGAGAAATGAATGATTATTTTAATTAATTAAATAAAAAAAATATATAAATATATAGAGAATTATAATGAGTCAAGAAGAGGCTTGGGCTAAGTAGGAAGAATAAAATTAATAAGGTTAGGAAGTGGAATAAAGAAGAAAGAACAAAAAAAGAGTAATTACAAATCCAAATTAATTAACAGGACATTGGAGTGAATAAGAACACAAAACATATATAGAATTTTTAAATATGCATAAAACAGTGATGGAATCATAAGATTAAAAGAAAACAAGCAAGATTTTCAAATTAATGAGTGAAACAATTGGTACTAGAAGTCCTTCTTAATGCCGGTGAGATTGGTTTTTTCTCTATCTTCTAGGTCTCATCACCAGAAGTTCAATCCTTTTGTCCATTCAGTCAAGAAGAGATAGAAGGGATTAGGTCGGAAAAGAAAGGAGAATAGGAACTAAGATATAATAGACAAGTGTTAAGAGAGTGCATTTTTATAGTAGTTTATGGCTGGACCACAATTTTATTAATAACCATAAGGTTTTTAAGATTATCAATTTCAATTTCCTTAATTTCCTTATATGTTTCCAATGCCAGATAATATGAGTAAGGATGAAGAAAAATTATATCAATAAGATCAATAATAATTGTTTTATTAATAATACTTGCTGGCATAATAATAAATGTAATCGTAGATGGATGAGAAAAATTTGTTTTGTTATCTTATGCATCCATAATAATAAGTTCAATTAAATTTCAATTACTATCCACAATAAATGATATATCAGATATCTGAAGATTAGAATATTAAAGAGAATCAATTCGATGAATAATGAAATAGTTTTTAAATATTATGGTTTGAGATAATTCGTTTTTATTTTAATAATGAAAATACATTTAATATTAGTTCTTCTAATAGCAGTCAATACTCAATCCTTTTTGGAAGAGTCTGCATTATTACACTAAACTCCTTTTGCTCCCATAATGATCTAAGAAGATGTGTAGTAATAAGAGATTGAGACAGCTGTAGCTCCAGAATAAGAATATGTTTATGATCCAGAATCAGTCTTATAATCTGCTAAAGAACAATAAATTTTAATAGCTAGAAATTATGAGTAAAATTTACCAGCTAAAGGTGATTGTATAATTTTGTATTCTGAATGCAATTTTAGAGGATCATCATTCAAATACTGCAATTAACCAGATGAAGTTTTATCATTTTAACTTCCAATTTAATCTGTCTATGTTCCTATTGGGTATTAATTGTATTTATTAAGATCATCATTCTAAATGACTGATGCATAAGAGGGAAATAAAGTTAATATGTTAATGAGTCATGATTGTATTCCATCAGGCTTACATTTACCAGAACCTCAACTTTAAGAAGTCTAAGAGTCTGGTAACAATTGGTTTAGTGAATTAAAAGATTCTGAAAAAGCCATATTAGATGAAGGTGATTTATCGACACCAAAAATTTAATTCTTTGATAATGATGGAAATGTGATCAGTAAATTTTCTTATGATTATTTCATCAGGTAGAGAACAATATTAAAAAATGGTTGAAGAAGATGCCAAGAGATCTTATGAAATCTTAACTGGATAATCTAATTTATCATCACCAGGAGAAGAATAACCATAATAAACAGCAACTGCTAATGTTTAAGAAATGCCAGTCGAAAAAGAAGCTTAATAATAATGAAAATTATTAAAAAATTTTAGACAAAATATTATTTATATCTTACATTTATAATAGTATTTAAAAATCAAATCTTGAAAACTATTCAAAACTAAGAATATATTTATTATACAAATATCTTCACTGTTAATATCATTGTTTCATATATTCATGTTCTAACTTAATAAATTATTTAATAATATTTATGGAGCTTAAGCCTTTCTCTTTCTATATTTAATTCTTTTATTGTATGATTTTTTAATAGTTTTGTTGTTACTTAAATTATATATAAAAATACTGATAAAACATATTACTAAGCTTGAGTGAAACAGCAACTGACTTCTGTTGCTTATTCATTTTCTAAATAACCAAAACTACTTTCTTCTGAATCATTCACTCCTAATTATTTGTAAATGGCTCTTATTTGAATTATCAGCCAATAATAAATCACATAAATCTAATTGTTTATAAATAATTAATATTATTATATTATTTTATCTGAAACTTTGTAATTATTATTATTATTATTAAATATTCTTTTAAACTTAAAAAATTTTCTGCTATGATATGATATTTAATTTCCTTCAATATCATATTAATTTATATTCTCTGCACTCTAAATAAATTATTCAAACATTTATTATCTTTAATAATTAGTTTTACTCAATAATGGAATTAGCTTTCATTAATTATTCTCTTTGTAACAATTTTAGTATAGCTTTGAATTACCCTTATAAATAATTTGTTTTTTGATAATTAATCATTTTCCTAATTCAAGATTTTTTATTTTTTCTAATTTAAAACCTTCTCCAATTTCTTTTTTTTAATTACAATTAATAAGTGTGTTATAAGATTTAAATCTACCTCTTAAATAAATAGACAACTTAAATAGCTTAGAAATTATCTTAAGTAGAGAAAGGTAAATTAAATTTTTGTAATGTAGTTTAAAGATTTGGTTATTAAGATAGAATTTGATTGAATTTATTCATAAATGTTAATTCTTTTGAATCTAATAATAAATTTGATCTCGTTCTTGTAATAAGAATTTATTTTCCTTTTGACTTTTTGAATTTTCGATTAATCATTTAATTACCCTTTTGTTATTGATTTTATTTTTAACTGAATGATGGAAGGATGTATTATTAATTAAAGCTGAAGATTGTTATTCAATATTTATCATAGATTAATTCTTACTCAATTTATGTGATATTTTTACAATTTCAATCAATTCGTTGTTTATGTAATACTTTTATTTAGTATTTTATTGCTATTCACTAATTACATTGAAAATGCTGCTTAATTTTAACTGCTTAATTAATAAAAATCTTATTAACTTTCAAATAATTCTAATATGATTTTTATCTTTCAACAACAGGACTATTGTAATTTGAGATATTTTATGATTAACTTTCAATTTAATTCTTAAATACTATTTTTGTTGATTTCTTTTCCATAACTTGACCTTAGAATTTTAAAATTTAACTGGCATATATTTATTAAGCGATTCTTTAATTGTCACAGTTTTTCATTATTAATAATAATATAAAATTATAAATTATGCTAAAATAAGAAGAAACTTATGAACAACAAGAATAACAAGAATTTAGCAGAGAATATGAAAAAACAGCTCTTTCTATATGTGAGTTGAATCATCGTCTCATTTAAATTGAAAATTAATATTTTCAAGAATCAAGATAGTAACATAATAGAATTGATGTTGATTTCAGAAAGTATTTGAGTTAGTTTAGTATCATAAAGAAAAAGGATCATAATATTGAATAAATTCAAAAGTAATTTAATCTTTTATATCAAGAATTTTCAATCGTCTATGTGCAGAGTATGATCTAATTCTTTAAAAGGAAGGTCGAGAAAGAAGAGAATATAGAAAAATGCTTATCAAACTTTAGAGAATTCAGAAGAAAGCATGGAATTTGAATCTAGATAAAAGAGAAGACATCAAATAAGTATGTAATGCATATGAAATTCCAGACAAAATTTTAGATGAAATTGCATAAACAATAAAAAATTACAATAGAGAATGATTTATATATATATTTATTATCATGATTTAATTATTCTTCAATCTTCACAAAACTATCAAATCAGAATTCACAATAATCCTTCAACTCCCTCAAATGTCAAATCCTCTTGTAAATTTATTTTGCTTCAAAAGCAGTTCAGAACTAAATATTGAACTATTATTTAGTTTCTCATTTATAAAATTCTGATATTGAAAATTAAACTTCCTATTCAGAATCGGCTATCATGATTTTTAGATGAGATTTTATTGAATTATTCTAAATATGATTGCAAAACTTTTCTGCTTCATTAATTTTGATTTATGGATCGAATTCATATTATAATTATTAAGGTTCGGGTTCTTTATATTAAGAACATGTTCCACAAATAATTCCATCTAAATTTTCAAATGTACAATATTTGCAAATCCATGTATTAAATGGTTCTATCTTAATCTTAACAGTTTAATTCTTTACACTCTCCATTAAAACTTTTAAATCTTCATCTGAACTTATGCTTATTGAATCACCATCATCATCTTTATAAAATAAATTATAGTTCTAATTTATTTAAGGATGTAATTTTATAATATGATTCTTTATTTATTAAAAAATTTGAGAATAAATAAATAAAATATTATCATTTTATCAATTATTCTATTTCTAAATAATTCTATTAAGTTGATTTAAAAATAGAAATTTAAAATTTTAAATAATAATATAATATGTTTATGCCAATTCATAGAAATCAATATGAACAGAAGGAGTAGGAATTGTTAGTAACAGCAGCAGCATCATCACCTGATGATACACCAAATGGAAATGGAGCTGGTATAGTAGGTGGAGGAGTAACAGGAGGATATATCGGAGTAATGATAGGAGGACCACCTGGAGCAGTCGTAGGAGCAGCAGTAGGAGCAGTAGTAGGAGCAGTAGGAATAGTAGGTGTTGGAGAGACGATAGTAGGGGTTGCAGTCGGAGCAGTAGAGGCTGTAGGAGCAGTTACAGGTAGGATTATTAATCTAATTTTTGGATGAGGTTGTGATTAATACTCATATATTTTTGATTAATTAACCAAATATATTACTATTTTTACATAAAGAAATAGAAAAAAATCTCTAAAAATAGACCTGATTATTGATCAGGAATTATTAAAGCTTTAATTAAACCTAGCTGAATCTAATTAATAATTAAGAAATCAAATAATTAAATATATTATTGTAAAATTCTATTATATTCAAAATCTATTAAATTTAAAGTTTCAATTTTAGTTAGCAACAATAAATTAAATATAAAATAATCAATTAAAACAAGGAGAGAATTATGAAAAGCTGAAACATGCAACAGACTTAATTCATAAAAATCCATAAGCAAATATAATTTTTTTAATTAATATTATTAATATAATGTCATTCTATTTTTTAAAAAGTGGATGGGAAAAACAATTCTTCAAAACTCAAATAAAAAAAAAGGTTGCTAGAATGTAGAAAACAGTTGTAGAGTCTACAACTAAATAAATCTATAGCGATTTTCTTGAGGATCAAAATCTAGTTTTATAACGACTACATAAAACAATTAAATAAAAATTGTATATGTATCGAATAGTCCAATTGATAAGATTTACAATAATGGAACTGATTTAGTAAAATTTAATGAATAGTTTAATTTATCTGGATTAAATCTAAAAGAAATAATTATAATTTTCAATTAATACATCTATGAAGAATTGATTTAACATTTTTAGAATGAACAAAAAGGTAGGCCACTTTTTTAAACACATCTCCCCAAAAATATTTATATATTCGAACTAATAAAAATTGATTCAAAATTCCAATTATAATTTTCCAATTAGAGGAGAAAGGATTTCATTAATTTTTTGGAGAAGAAATTATAGATTTGTTTAGTAGTTGATTAATTATAATCTTTATAAATATGTCTTAAAATGAAATTGTAATTAATATTTGGTTTTATTATATTAAATAAATTTGAAGTATAATATTAAAAATAATAAACACACATACAAAATTTATCAAAAAAAGAGTTCTATCCATTTATTTTCTTATATCTTCTTTTATAAAACATATCTACTTACACTCTAATTTATCTCTAAATTCAACCCATCTACCTATTTTAATAATTTTTTTCATATGACCCATAAACTACTATTTGATTAAATTTAATCATTGTCTTTTCAAAAAATAATTCACATAATAGATTTATTTATTAATAATGCAAAGAAAACAAAAAAAACAATAAAAATATTAGATAATTTGATATGATATGTTAATCATTATTATTATTCTGAAAGATCAGTTCGTTCAAGTGCTTAAGTTTATAATTGTTCCTTTTTCTCTTATTCTAATTGATCTAGTCTAATAATGTTATCTAAATCAGTTTATAATTTAATCATGGCAGGTCCTTTTTCAATTTCTTATGTCATTTGTAAATAAGCATTATAAAATTACTTAGGTAAATGATCACCTGCATCTTATTCAAGAATATTTCCATTTATATCGGTAACAGTATATGAATATATTCCAACATTATTGGATAAATCAGTAATTTAACCAACAACTCCAGGTATATATTATTCATTAGTTTAGACTAAGGATGGATGTTTCTTCTTTGCTTATGATTAATGTTGAATTTCATCTGAAATTATTTGTGCCCAATGTTCTATCTAAGTGATGACATCGTACAAGCTTCCTTAGAATTAATATGATAATCTGAATCACCAAGGTTAATGAGACTTTCTAACATGTCCAGCTTAAGTTACTATAAGGAAAGCACATAGAAGAAGGGACTTGTACATTATTATGATAAATATAATAATAATCGTTTTTACACTTTATTTACATTTAGTCAATTATTTTAATTAATAAATACTCAACTCTATGGATCTTTAGCTGTTAATACAAACAAACTCATTAAACCAATCATCACAAATTTTAATGAAGGATAATCATTTAATAATATTGTGATGTACCCTACATATGGAAGTACTCTAATAAATAAATAAACTATTAAAACCCTTCTATTTTGCCCATTATATCTGATCTTTCTAGCCACATTTATTTTCTTGGATATAATGCTCTATCATCTACTTAATTATTATCACCTTTTGTTAATATCAATTAATCTAATGGATCATCACTCCTTTTTACAATATTATATACATTCTTACTTCTATTAAATTTATAATACTCTATGAACAATAGGAATGTCTTAATCTTTTATTTTGTATACAATAACATCTCCTACCTCAAATGGTTTATTAAAGTATGTCAAAAATAAGATATCACCTCTGTAATATGCAGGCTCCATTGATCCAGATAAAACAACCACAACTGGAGATTCTGAAAATGACACCACTTATAAACTCTTCCATATTGACAATGCTGATCCTACTACTATTGCTAACGATACTATTTGTAATATTATCTGAATTTTAATCACTTCTCATTATACCTTTCTAAATTTCATATGTCGGAATTCATCCACGTAGCCAAGAATAACATCCATTTATTTATAATTCTTAAATATATATTTATATTGTTTTTTATTTCATTCATATTATTATTAATATACTATTTTTTATATGACTCATACTATATACTAAACTTCAATTATATTATTAATTAGAAGAAGAAAAATATATATAACGTTGTGATATATTTTTAAAAGTTCAATATAAACAGAGTTGTCATATAAATTAGCATCATTTCCAATATATCATTAAAAATCAAAGATTAGAAATATTAATTATAATCTTATATCTTTTTTATCCTTCAATATACTAAATTAATGATTGTAAGTTTTGTAAGTTCAATTTATACAAAAGTACATTTCATTAGATTATTTATAATTAAAATTATTATTATAGTTTTAAAGAATAGAGAATGATTCCAAATCAATTGAAAAAATCAAAAAACTCATTCTAGATTAAAATATCACTCTGATAATTAATATTTTATAACCAATTCTAGGATCATTAGATATCAACAAAAAATAAGAATATATTTTATAAAAATAACGGAGCAATATTTTGATTAAATAAATAAATAGTATCATTTAATCAATTATTTGATAAAAGTTTAAGCAATTTTAGTAATTTTAATTTTATCTGACTCACTTTTTTTTGCCCAATGAGCTACTTATCGAGCAGTTGCATAATATTTTTTAAGTGTAGCTTCATTTTTACCAATAAAATTATAATATAAACTATCAAAAAGATCAGTCCAATTATATATTTATTTTTCTATTTTAATTTCAGATTTAACTGATTTATTAAAATTACTCATTTTTTGCATATAATTAGATGAACAAATATATGGTCTTGTCATCATTATTCCTCCATCTGCATGTTAAGTCATACCAAATACATTTGGTGCCATTACCCATTCATAACTATCTATATGAACTTCCATAAACCATTTAAATACTTCTTTTGGATGGATCTCTGACAATAACATAGTATTTCCTATATACATTAATCTTTCAATATGATGAAGATAAGCATATTTAATAGTCTTTTCAATCATATGATCAATTGGCGGTATTTTTGTCTAACCAGTATACCAATTTTTATTTAATTAATTTTAATGATTAAAAAAATTAGCATTCATTTACTATTCACCTTCAAAATAATATAATAATCTAACATATTCTCTCCAACCAATTACTTATCTAAGAAATCCTTCTACTGATTAAATAGGTGTTTTTTATTCTTTATAATATTGTAAAGTTTTCTCAACAATTAAATTACTAGTAATTAACCCTATATTCATCATTGGAGATAAAATAGAATGATTAACAAAAGGATAATCTGAATGAACAGCATCTTAATATGGACCAAATTCTCTTAATTTCTACTTTAAAAAACTATCCAACCATTATTCAGTTGAATTATGATCAATTGGATAAATTGTATTTTTTATTTCACCAAAATTATTTGGAAAATTTTTAGTTATATAATTTATGGCTTCATCATAGTAAATTGATTTTATTTATTCAGGTTTCTTTGGTACTTTTGTTCCTTATTTTAATGGCTGCCTATTTTCTGAATCATATGTCCATTATTCTGGATCTTCCCCTTTAGGACCCATTAAAATATTTAATCTTCTTCTTTACCATCTATAAAATGAAGAATCATGACTGTAATTTGATTTACCATCCTTTACTTTTACATTTTCCTTATGATATTATTCTAAATCTCTTCTTGTGCATAAATATGATAAATTTTCTTTAATTTCACTTGGTATTCCTAATTTCTTTAAAATACCTGAATATTTCTATAAAACTGGTTTATCAATTGGATCATAAAAGTCACATTAAGTAATAACAATCTTATCAATCATTTAAAGCTCTTCCAAAAATGAACTACAATTATCATTTTGATCAATATATTATATGCTTGTTTGTTTTAAATTATTTATTAAATAATCTTAATATGATTTCATAGTAGCTCTATGATAAACAAGCTTTAATTTATGATAATTATATGCTCTGAAGTATTAATCATCCTCTATTAAAAATATTTTATTATAATTTTTCAGAATGTCAATATTCTTATATAGATGAACAGGAAACAATAAGAATATTTTAGTTTCTGTTTCTCCATTTAATTATCTTTTTTAAGAAAAAGTCTTTTCGTTTCTTTCCTTCCTAAGACTAAGCCTAAGCTTATCTTATTTTTAATGTTTTAAGTCATTTATTGTTGTCATTAAATAAAATTAATGTAAAACAGATTTTGATTAAAAAATTTAAATCCTAAAACAAAATAATATTATTTTTATATTTAAAAAAATTGATAATTATATTATAGACTGAAATCTATTCTTTAATGATAAATAAATCATTCATATCAATCTCGATCTCTTGTGAATCTTTTTAATTGGCTTTATTGTTCAACTCCTTTACCTCCTTTACCAGTCCAGTTTTATTATGCTATCTTTTTAATTTAATACTCTTCTCTTTCTTATTGTCTCCATTTATTTCCAATTAATTAAATTTCTTTTTCATATTATGGTAATGTTGGAGGAGGTGAAACTTATTAAATAACTGATCCTAAAATTTTATTAAATTTGAATTACCTAATTCTTCATGATAAACTAATATTGAAAACTAAGTGATATCATTAACATTTGAAGAGCTAAGTGAAGCATAATCAAATCTTCCTCTTAAATCTGTATATCCATCTTTATGAAATGACTCTTTATAATTTTTATTTTTTTAATAAACTTTTACATAAACTTTAGATAAGTATTATCCTTATTAATTAAATACTCTTATTTAACCAGAGTCCATCATTGTTTAGACAAACAAAGATGTTGGTTAATATTTACAAGTTACGGATTTCTTTTAACCTTTTATTGTTACAAATAAATTCTCTTTTTATAATTCACTTGGTATTTTTATTTTTTATTAAAAAAAACTAAATTAATAAATTTATACTTCTTTTAAATTTCTTATCCTTCAAGTTTATGTTTTACACTTACATTTGGAAGTACAATTGAAAAATCTTGAATAATATTCTTCATAAATGGATTATTTGAAAACAAAATTTCAATATCCAATTTATAGTATTCTATTATAACTTCTTATAAATTTGAGAATGTAATACTAATTGAGTCACCTTCTATTGAACCTGCTAGAGTTTCTTCTTTTTAAATTATTTCTTTTTATTTTTATTAAATTTATCCTAATTTATTAAATTAATTGTCTTCTTCTCCATCATATTCAATTAATAAATTAATCATTTCATAAAATAGATTTCTCCAATGTATAACTGGATAACTTAAATACTTTTTACAAATTTCTCTTCCTTTTTAAAAATTAGGATATCCAGTGTAAAAGTCTAGATAAGCAGATAAATAATCAAATTATAACTATTATTCTTGTTATTCTGCTTCAGGAATTTATGAAAAAATCTAAACAGCTTCATTGACTCTTTCTTATAACAATAAATAATAAATTAGAACTAATTTATCCACAGTTGAGAATTGAGGTTTTTCTAAAAGATAAATTAAGTAATTAATATATTAATTTCTAAATTATACATTTAGTATATTATTTTCTCCTTATTTTAGTTAATGCACTCTTTTTATTATAAGTGGAAAATATTCTAAGATTCTGATGGAATTAATTTCAAATAATGAACATTTAAAATGTTTAAATGCATTTTATAATTTATTTTAAGCATATGTTGACATAAATAACTCTTATAAACATTGAAAATTATTGTGTAATAAGGAAAAAGCAAAACTTAGGTGATCATTATACTTTCTTTTTTTATAAATTTACATAACTTGATTATAGAAAACTTGATCATTAAATTTATGATACAATAGTTAAGGATAAAAAAATTTAGAATTGAAAATATTCTTATTTTCAATATAATTTAAAATATCCTAATTGTTATCTGTTGATAATACATCATTTATATTTTCTAGATTAACTTTTGGTTGTTAATCATAAACTTAAAATGTTTTTTCTTTAGCAATCTAAATAACTTTACCAAGTTTAGATATATTAGCTGGATAAATTGTAAAATTTCCAGCTTTAGGGAAATAGAAAAAGTATTTTTAAATTGTTGTTTAATAAGGAGGACAAGTCAAAGTAAAAGTTTTAGTAGTAAAAGTTGTTTTAACTGGAATTGATCCATTTGGAATTTCTACTAATAATTAAAATTTTTGATCTGAACTTGAACAATTTGATACTACTACTTTACATCCATATACTTTTTTAATAACAAATTAAGATAAATCTTCTTCTGATTCATTTTCATCTGAATCATTAATTGCTTCATTTAAAGGATCAAAAAAAGATTAATTAATAATAATTTTTGAATTCTATTAAACTTGTGCCTCTTAAATTTCTTTAATAAAAATGAGAGCAGAAGTTGGATAAATAATTTCAATACCTTTATTACCTAATTATTTAGTATTATATTTGGGTGATTCAAAAGGTAAATTTATTAATGCTAAAACACTCATTATTTCAGTAAAATTAGAAGTACAAAACATAAATGAAGATGTAATAAATTTTTAAGTGAAATAACCATTTTGAATAGAGTGATTAGCAAGATCAATTAAAAATTCTGAAATTTAAATCAAACTTGTAAATTAATTTCTATTTGTTCCAACTCTATAATGCTTTTCACAATACTCTTTAGTAGCTTCAACATTTTTAAAAGTTTAAACTAATTTAGAACGCATGGATTAATATCTACATGCTCCAACTTTACCAATCCCTTTTCCTAAGGATTTTCTTGCTGTTTATCTAGTTCTTGCTCCTCCACGCCTAACTTAAAATTGTTACTTCTCCTTTTCTTTAATATTGCTATTACTTCTACTAATACTTCTACTAATACTTCTACGAATACTTCTATTAATACTTCTACTAATACTTCTACTACTACTACTACTACTACTTCCACTTCTCATACATTCTTAAAATTAAGATCCAACTTCTGAATCATATTTACCTTTATCTCTATCATCATCAGACGATTTTCTCTTATAAGTTCCCCTTTCTTCCATTCTTTATTTTGACATATTTGCAATTTAAATTTTGGTTTTTTATAAATTTTAATTTTGTTTCATAAATTACTTCTTTTCTACTCCTAAAATTGTATCAAAAAGCAACTTATACTTCTCATCATCTTATTTATTAATTATAGTTTTAAAATTCTATTAAAGATATTTAAACATGAACTAAGCTTCATCCTTTTTTTAAACTATTTCTTAATTATAAATTACTAAAAGTGCTTATTCTAGACCATTCAATTATTAAAATTATTAGACCTATTCATATTATTATAATGCTGCATGATCTTAAAGTAAAAAATAATCAATAAAAGATTTCTCTATTTTATTTTTTATGTGATTTCTAATTACTGTTTCAAAAAATCCTGTGTCTTTAAAATAAAGAAATAAATTCAATTCATCACATTAGTATTGATTATAAAATTTTTGTTAAAATTCAAAAGTTTCAATATTCCATCTTAACATATTAGATATCATTTTTTAATCCTCATCTTAAATAGATTGTCTGTTTATTTTCATTATTTCTTTTTGTAAACTAAAAAGCATATTTAAAGAATCTAAAATTAAAATTTCTGTTGATGTTATATCTTATATTTAATTCGGAATCTCTGGAATTATCTCTTTTGTACTTCTAAAAGTAGAATAAAATTTATCTTTTTATAATAAAGATCCATGTCTTAAATCTTTTATTTTAAATTAGTTGCTCTTAAGTGGTAATATATTGATAACATAATTATTTTCTGAATATACTAATATTAAGATAGTTGAATAATGTACTGGAACTTCAAAAGTATAATAATCTTTATCCTTCTTTATATTTGTAATTATTTTGCCTGGATATTTTAAAAATTCACAAAAAGGGTCAAAACTTTAATGTTGTTATGATTAAGGTCCAGATTTTCTACAAGCTTTTGATGCTAAATTTTTAGGTTCACATTCTGTGAATAAATTATCTTAAACTTTTTATAAATTTTCTTCCTAAGTCACAGTATCATCAGTAAGAAAACGATTTAAGAGAATTTAAGGTTTCTCAAGAGTATTACCAACATATCTTGGTAAATTCTTTCTTTCAATAATATATCCTAATTCATTTGATTATTTTAGATTTGATAAAAAAATATTACTTTTTGGTTCTAATTTAAGATTATCTGAATCAGAAATATTTTCTAAAAAAATTTTCCCTTATTGTTTTAAGACATTAAAATCTTAAGGATAAAATGTTGTTGCTAAGGCTATTAAATTATATTTTTCATTATTGGTTATAATGTCACCTCTTACCAAATAATTATTTTCATTTTCTTAAGTCACAGTATTTTTTATTTGTAATTCCCTATTTTACTGCTTTGCTATTCTTTCATTATTGGTATAAAAATAATCATTACATTATCTCAATGTATTATCAATAACTTAAAATTAAAATTTATATTATTCATTTAAAAGTTCCAATAAAAATAATCCTTTTTCAGTAAATTCAATAGTTATCGAATTTTCTTCAAATTAAATCAAATTTCTTAAATTTTTAATAGGTATATGAGTTTAATTTTGATTTTTTTTTACTTAGTAAAATAAGACATTTTCAAATGATGAAGAGAATGGTAATGTTATTTTTTATCCCTAATTTATGACAAATTCAAAATTCTTTTAATAGGAATCAAATTATTCTTAAATATTCCATTTTTCCTGAAGAATCTTATAATTAGTAGAAATTGTAGAGGAATCTATTTATTAAATATTTGGTAAGAAACCCAATTTTATTTAACCATTTTAATCAGTTATAAGATTTTCTTTAATTTATTCATTAATCAATTTGTGTGTAAATGAGACTTAAACTTAAACATTTTTAAAAGGTTCTCCATTCTTTCCCAAAATAAAGATTGAATATCCATCTATATCATCAAATTTTAATAATTATTTTATAAAAATTTATTCTTAAGATTTTTCTTAAATTTAAATTTTATGTGATGATGTTAATACTAAATCTTCCTTTACATGTAATTATGTAATTTTACCAGAAACTTCTATTTAAATATTAAGTATTTTTTGATTAATTGGAAATTTTATTTCAAGAGGAACTTTACTTTAAAAATGAAGATCTTTAAAGTCAAAAGTTTATGGAACACCTTTTTCATTTTAACATGTTATTTATACTTTTGCTTCTTTAAAAATTCTAAAATCAATATTAGTTCCATTTAAAATTAATGAAGGAATAATAATTAATGAAACATCTTATCCTAATTAAAATTATTCTTCAACCATAATAAAACTACATACTAAATTAAATCTTTCTGGATATAAATTAAGATTTTCTTTTTAATAAAAATCTCCAAACTAGATTATTGCTTATTCTTGAGTTTCAGTTTTTGGGAATGGTATTATAATTTCACCTTTTACTAATTTATATACATTTTATTCAATCCATATACAAATTTGATCATCATATAATTTTTCAAATTTTTCATCAAATATTTCATATTTATATCCTGCAGCTACAATAGTTTGATGTAAACATAATCTACCTTTTTCAATAATAGCTCTACAAGATAATCCATTACCTATAAATTCAATAATAAAGGATCCTCTTTCTATTTTTTGAATTGATTCAAAAGAAAACTCTTTGATAACTTTCTTAATTGGAGGATAATCATAAGTAAAATTTATTTCTTCTGTTGGAATGAATCCATCCAGACATATATTAGAAGTTAATTATTCTTTTTTAGCTGAATAAAAGTTTTTCATATTAATTTGAAATATTTTAATAGTTAAACTCTAAATATTCTTTAGTTCCACTAATATATTTACTGGTTCATCATGAGTGAACTAATTTTTATTTTAACCACAAAATTATAAAATCTTACTATTGTTCATTTATTTTATTTAAGAATTTGAAAAAAAGGATGTCAAATCTAGAACTTCTTCTCCTTTATAGAGGTTACATTATGCTTTTTATTCTTTTAGATAATTAGTTTACAAATATTGTTCAAAAATACTAAAATCTGAATTTAATTCAAAGTATTTTTAAAGATACTTTTCAATTAATTAATTAGAATTAAGCCCTAAATATTTATTATTTTATTTACATCTTTAAGTTTTAAATCCATGCCATTAATGCCAAAATGATTAATATTCAATTCTAATTTTCCTTTGTAAGTCTCTTTATTCTGATGTGATGTTATTATAAATTTCTTTTGGATTTCTTAAATACTCTAACAACAAATCAAAATCATAATGCTAAATTTCAATTCCTATTTTATAATATTTAATATTTACCATATTACAATAATTCTATCATAACTTAGTGTCTAAGAGAAGTAAATTTTTCTGGTAACTATTCTGTCCAATTTAATGCTTTTTTCAAAATTTCATAAATTTCCTTTGGTTAATTCTTTATTGATAAATTTTCAAAGTTATCATTTTAATAAAATTTTTTAAAAAAAAGATTTCCTACAAAAAATTCATTTTCTAAAAAGTTTTTACACAAATTAGCTATCTCTTCCATTTTCTCCACAGTTAAGAAAATAAAATGATGGGATCCGAAAACAAAATCTTTTTTTTTCATCAACTCAACAAAAAATTAAGGTATATCATTCTTATTCATGTTTAATCTCAAAATTTAATTCATATTTTGTATTTTACTAAAGAAAATTTCTATGACTTTTTTAGGAGCTTAAATCAATTATTTAAAATCTAATTAATTAAAAAGATCGGGAGATAATTTGCTTATTCCTTTTTCTGTGTATGCATCCTTTATATAATTATCTAAAACTAATAGTTTGTTATCAAATTGTGAAACTAATTCTTTAGAATTTAGGTTCATATTAAATGCATTTTATTACTAAATATATAATTTATATTACATTAGTAGAAACATTTTAAGACAGCTTATTGAAATCAATTTAAAATAATTTTTTATTGATCTTTTACAAGATTTCTCTTTATTTTCTTGCATTTTCTTCTGTTTATATTTATTCATTTCTAAGATTATCATATTCTTAAAACAAACATCTTAAACGAATTTTTTTATAATTCTCAGTTTTCATAGTTTTGTATTGTTTAAAATTCAATTCTTACTCAGAATCAAATTAGTATCCTTTCTAATTTAAGATATTTAGAAAGTATTGATAATAATATTGATCTGATCCTTTGATCAATTTTTATAATCCATTTTCCTTTGAAATTAAGATTGCTTATTCTAATTAGTTAAAATCAAAATCTTTGTTAGTATCAGAACAATTTGAAGAATATGACTCGGAATCGTTTTCGCTCATCATTTATTATTTATTATCTAATTTTATTTTCATTTATATTTTCTTGCTCGACTTTTCAAAATAAATATTTCCCACTCAATTTTTATTACAATTCATTTAAAGGAAATCTAAATAAAATAAAATATTCTATATAAAAATTTTTTGGATTCATATTCTAAAAATAATAATAAAATTATAACAGCTAAATTTTCAAATTGAATTTGACAAATAAACATAACCTTTATTAGAATTGAAAAAAATAGAAAGTATAAATTCAAACAGCTGAATAAAATAGAATAAAGTATTTTAGTTAATACTGAATAATATTATATTTCTATGAAATAAAATTAATTCTGCACATAATTACATCAATTTCATTGTTAAAATTTTCAATTTATGGGAATGTCCAAAAAATAATTACAAAGATTAGTGCTCTGCAAATTGTAAGGTAAAATTGATTTTTATTGCAAAATATAGTTTTTATAAAGGATGATTTGTTACATTTTGATAGGAACTTTTAAGGTTTGATTTATTGCTAATTAGATGTCAGGAAATACATTTTATAAGATGGTAGTAGAATTTATTACATTTTAATAAATTTATTAATAGGTAAAATTAAATAGTTAATAAATATCTAAATAAGTGATAACTGGATAGATTAGAAAAAAATAAGAATAGAATAAATTTTGATATTTTTATTAATAAATAAAATAAGAAAAAATAGAATAGAAATAGTATTTGTAACATATAAATTAAGGAAATTTTTGATCGAATTTAGTGGAATGATAAATGTGTTGAGAATATAGATTGAAATAAATGTAGAGAAGTAGATGAAAATTAAAGTATAAACTTCTGTTAATTCATATAAATATTAAGTCGTTTTGATATTAAATATATAAATTGATTATGAGCTTATTTAGATCAGAATAGATGGAATTCTATAATTTAGTGATTCCTCGAGAGTCGGCATGGGATGTAATGAACACATTAGGATATTTTGATAGCGTTCACCTAATTGATTATGATCCAACATTACCTTAAATAAATAGGCCATTTTCAAATTATGTGAAGAGGTATTACATTTAGAGATTAAAGATGTGATGATGTACTATAGAAGATAGAGTTGATAGATGGAGAGATGAGGAATTATAAGATTGAGAAGATTTATTGTCCAAATATAAAAGATTTATTAGAGAAGAGAAATGGAGGTCATAAATAATTTGAAGAATTAGAATAGGATGTATGTAAAGTAGCAGATGATTTGGAACATCAATAATAAACATTGAATAATTTATAAGAGAAGAAAAATATAATAAGAGAGAATTTAGAAGTGTTAAGAAATGCAGTAGCATTTTAGAATGAGGATTCAGAAGAAGCAAGTTTATTAGGATTTTAGAAGATGGTAGGAGTTATATTGAAAGAAGATGAATTGAGATTTAAAAGAATAATATTTAGAATAACAAAGGGTAATATTCATGTAGAGATTATGGATATATAAGAACATTTTATATAATAAGATAAAAGGATTGTATAGAAATGTGTATTTATGTTATTTTATCCTTGTGGAGATTTAACTTAGAAGAAGATTTAAAGAGTTATTGAATCATTTTCATGTAATAAATTTGATATTCCAACATCTCAGGAATAACATACATAAAGAATAACATCATTAGAGAATTAATTAAATGAAGCAGATCAATTAGTGCAATGGACTATAACATAAATAAATTAGAGATTAAGGAGTTTAGCAGAAGTTAAATATAATTGTTCATGGATTGAAGAAATGAGAATTTTAGTAACTAAAGAACAATATTTGTACATGAATTTAAATAGGTTAAATATGACAAACTCTGTATTTCATGGATAAATATGGTTACCTTAAGGTTAGGATTAAAAAATATAATAAGCTTTAAGAGATTTACATGGTAATGATAAATAATTACCTAGTGGTTAAATATAGGAATGTTAAACTTAATTAACTCCTCCTACTTATTATAAATTAAATACGTTTACATATCCATTTTAAGAAATTGTTAATACTTATGGAATTCCTAGATACAAAGAAATTAATCCAGGATTATCAACTATAATAACATTCCCATTCTTAGTAGGTGTTATGTTTGGTGATGTTGGTCATGGGTATAATTTATTAATTTATTAAGAGTTTGTTATTATTTGTTTGTGGATTGTATTTGACGAGTGAAGATGCAAAGAAGTCAATTTTTGCAGGATTAGTGCCTGTGAGATATATGATTTTACTTATTGGATTCTTTGCTGCATATAATGGACTCATTTATAATGATTTTCTTTCTATTGGTTTAAATTTATTTGGTAGTTGTTATTAATTGATTGATGGAGAATATGAATTATAAGAAGATTGTGTATATAAGTTTGGTATTGATCCAGCATGGGGATCTTCTGCAAATTAATTAACATTTATGAATTCATTTAAAATGAAATTAGCTGTTATTATTGGAGTCACTCACATGACATTTGGTATTATTTTAAAAGGATTTAATACATTGCATTTCAATAATTATATTGATTTCTTTTGTGAATTCATTCCATAATCTCTTTTGTTGATTTGTAGTTTTGGTTATATGGATTTCTTATTATTTTTGAAATGGACTACTAAATATGAAAATACTAATGATGCTCCAAGTGTTATTACAACAATGATAGATATGGTACTTAAACCCTTTGATATCCCTGATAAACCTCTTTTTGAATCAGGTGAGTAATAAAGATTTATTCAACTTTTATTATTGTCTATCATAGTACTCTGTGTACCAGTCATGCTTATAACTAAACCATTAATTTTTAGTTTAAGCAAAAAGAATATTTCATATCAATAATTAGCATCTTAAGTACCTGATGATAACATTATTCATGAATAATTATAACATGATATGTAAAAGGATTTATCATAACCACAGAGCAGAGTATCTATTTAATAACACCATGAACATGATGATATCAGTGAATTGGTTGTTCATCAATGTATTAATATTATTCATTATCTATAGCCATTGAAACAATAGAATTTGTATTAGGAAGTGTTAGTAATACTGCATCTTATTTAAGATTATGGGCATTATCTTTAGCTCATTCATAATTAGCTGAAGTCTTCTTTTCCATGACTATAGCAGGTCATATTGGTTAAGGAGGATTCTTTGGAACAATTGGAGTATATTGATCATTGTTATATTTTAGTCTATTGTATAATATCCTGGTTTTGCTTTAGCAACTTTAGGAGTGTTGATGTGCATGGATCTTATGGAATGTTTCTTACATGCCCTTCGATTACAATGGTATTTCAATTATTCATTATCTAGGGTTGAATTCTAGAGCAAATTCTATAAAGCTGATGGATACCTGTTTAAAGCTTATTCATTCAAAAATATCAAAAATAATGAACCAGAAGATTGATGTCTTAATTTCATTCAAATATATATTAAATCAAAAACATTAATATTATTTATGGAATTATAATGTGTCAAATGATCACTTCTATCCCTTAAATAACCAAATTGAGAAAGAGTGTGTTCTAAAGTTTTTATATCAAATATATAATGGCAAAGAATGTGATTGCTATAAATGGCTGCTGTCTATCCAAAATAAAGATGACTCTTTTTTGTTTTCTAAATCAAATTATCAACATAAATAAGCTTTATTATCCATTTTAATTTGTATCATCATTTATTGCTATTATCGAAGAACTGTAAAAGAAGAAGTTATTATTTCTCTATTTATGTGTAAAAGTATTCAAAGGGATTAACTATGATAATACTATTCTAAATCATTTGAATTGAATCCAACCTCTTATTGTACAAGTTGATAATAAAAAAAATAAAATAGTCTCTTTAATTCTCTTATTTAAGTTTATAAATCAGATTAATTCACCATTCTAGAAAATCAATTTCATCACTTTTAGAATTCTATATTTTAATATAAAGTATTTATATATTATATTGATTAATAAATATTAAGAGGTATTGAATTTAGCATAAAAATAAATATATATATAGATACAAATATATTTAGCATAAATAATAATAATATTTGCTCATTAGATTAATATGACATTTTTTATATGTTCACCAGGTATGACAACACTGCCAACATAATATTTATCTTTCATAAAAAGATCATTGAATGCTTTGGCTTCATCAACTTTTTTTTATAATTCTTATTTATTTTCTTCAGTGGCTTTGTTGAAATTATTGTAAGCTTCTCTAATAGATTCATCATTTGTAAAATATTTGGCTGGGAATTGTGGAGTATAATGAAATTCAATATCTAGATCTAATGGAGAAGGGTGAGTAGCTACAGAATGTTAAAGGATGATTGAAAAAGGCGATGAGATACATGAAAGTACTCCATAAATAACTCTATTGTCTGAGCAAATTACTTTGACACTTTTATTCAAGTATTAAGTTTAAGATTAATCACTCATTTAATTAATTTAATAATTCAAATATCACTTATCTTCATCCGAAGAGTTTTCATCATCACTACCTTTTCTTACTTTAATCATACCATATCTTAAAAGTCTAATAAAATAATTTCTTTTATAAATTACATATGTGCTAAAGTACCTGTTTCAAAAGTATCTCTTCCTCCCATTTCTTCGAATCCTACAATTCTATTTTTTAATACTCCATTAACAAATAAGCATACTGTTGGTAGTACTTGTATTTATAATTTATTTACAAAAAAGGGTGCCTTTTCTGCATTCAAACTATAAAATTTAGTTTCAGGATGTCTATTAAAAATTAAAACAATATTTTACTATTATGAAATAGCTAATAAATGTTTGTCCATAATTTTACATCTTTCAAAATCACGATGAAAGAAATGTACAACACTAAATTCTGATTTAGTAACAGATGGTAAGAATTCTTCTTCAACAATTTCTCTATATTCTCCAAATCCTTAATTCTTTTTAAGCATAGCTTCTTATAATTCTTTAGCTCTTTGTTCTCTCATTTTTTTTAACATTTCTTTTAAATCTTCATCATCACAATCGTCTTCGTCTTCTTCTTCATAATATCTTCTTGCTGCTCTTCTTCTCTCTTCTTCCTATTATTTTGCTTATTATTCTTTCATTTTATCTTTAATAGCTTTCTCCATTACAGATTCTACCAACATGTTACCCATCAAAGAATTACTCATTTTTATTTAAATTTAAACTAATGTCGATCAAACAAAAAATGTATTAATATTTACATAAAAAAATATCTCATTCATTCATTCATCATCATCTTCATCTCTTACTTTATGTTTTTACATATATTATCTAACCAATTATTTCGTTTTTAATAATCTTGTTTATGTTATCTTTATTATAGGTTTCATAGGATTGAATTTTTAATGATGAGATCTATTCAAATTATTATAAAATCTCACCTACACTAACTAGGTGTTCTTGTTCCTATTATTTAACTCATTCTTTTAAATAATCTTTGACCCTTGCTATGATTCGCATTCTCTTGTAAAAAACGAAGATATGATTCATGTTCTTCCTAATTCCAATGGCCTGCTTTCTTCTAAATATTTTTCGAACTCTCCTGCATATCGCTTTAAGATTTTGTTACTTCTGAATCATTCTATGCCATTACTTTGATATTTAAATTAAATATATATTCCAAGATTTTATTAGTATTCTGAATCATTTAATATCATACATCTGTTTATTCAGATTTTCATCTCTACATTCCCTATCTTCTTCTCTATCAACATCATTCATTTCCATTATCTACTTTTCGCTCTTAACTCTCTTTTTCTATATCATTCTTTAGAATTCTCTTATTTTCAGAATCTCTTATTTTACATATTAACTTTTTATATATATTACAATAAACGTATAATAGTATTTGTTTTCGAATTATTATCTCATTAATAGGAGATAATTGAAGCTAGAATACTATCAATTTTAATCTTAATTTAAGAGTGATCATAATTGACATTATTGCCTCAATTATTTTACTCACAAATTAATTTAATTTATCTTTTTATATTTCTATATTTCACTTTATATACATATATTATGAATAATACACACTTTTCATCTATCATCATTCATTTTATTTGAAGTACAATGTCGTTACTCATTGATCGAAACAAAGCTACACTTTCTTTAAATTTCTATGGATTCTAATATGCCTTTTCATTCTCTTTTAAAACCCAAATTAAAAAGGTTATTATACACCCCTCAACAATTATAAATAGCAAAAATATTATTGTTTTTAATGTTGCAAACACTACTTAATTATTAATATCATCTCTAAAATAGAAACACTCTTGATTAAATTCCAAGGAAAAGTAGTACACTTACACTAGAATATGATAAAGACTTAATCCAACGATAGAGCTTATAAAAATTGAATAGATAATGAGTTGGCAGAATTAAGCTCTTAATCTAACCTATTATTGAAACTTCTTATGAATCTTTTTTTGTTAAATTATTATTTCAATTACAGCAATCAAAATCACTCCAAAATACATTATTATATCAACATAAAAGTATTTTTGTTTCGTTTTATTAAGGAAACATTTCCCATTTACAGATAATTCTAGTGATACAAATAATAACATAATAATTAAAAAGAAAATCATTCTCATTCTTCTTTATTTCTTCTTCGTTAAATTTTTTGACTAAAATAGCAGCACGTCAACATCCTCAATCTAATTTGCTACTAACATAAAATTTTCAAGTAAATTATTGAATTAATTTTTAATAAATAAAATATTAATCTAAAACTCATTACATCTTAAATTAAATTCTGTTTTTTACTTATTTTAATAACCATTCTATCAATTATAAAAACTTACTTGAAATTGTATAATGATTTAGTAAAAAAACATATTTAAATAATATTTTAATAACGTAGTTAACTATTTAAAATTCATTTTAACATGAATAATAATATAAATATTAATTGAATGCATTAAATTCCATATTGATTAAATAATATTTCAATTCATCATATGATTAATTTGAAAAACATCAAGTATTAATTTTTCTAAAATAATTTAGAGTTTATCTTATTAATTTTGATTAGTACATTTAGTTTGCCTATTTAATGATATTTAATAATTATTTTATTTCATATAAAAATAAATAATATAAGCTAAAAGAGCCTTCAAGATGGAGTTTAATTCAATGAAAGATTTAAAGAAGAAGTCTCAAATTTTTTGATATAATAACTTAAACAAAAATTAAGATGTTTTTGATGAAGTTATATTGGATTGAAAAGAGTGGATGTAACTTTTAAAACTTGAATGGTAAAAATAAGGGAGATATGTATTTTTTTTTAAGAATAACATATAGGATTTAAATCATAAGATTAAATGTGTGCACTAGTATAAGATTTAAATTAATTTTAGAGATAAAATAATATTTACAGGGTTGATATTTTAAATAATTAGAAAAGTGAGGGTGTTTTAACATAAAGTTGTTTTTGATTTATTTTATTATTATTTACAATATAGAGTAAGGATTTTAATTAGTTAATATAATTATAATGAAAAACTTTACTGTTTTTGAGAAGTTGGGAGAAGGTATTATAATTTTGATAAATACTTATTAATTTAGGTTCATTCTCAACAGTGTTAAGAGTAAAACGGTAATCTGATCAATAAGAATATGCAATGAAAAAAGTGAGGATGGGATAATTAAAGGAGAAAGAGAAAGAGAATTCACTTAATGAGATTCGTATACTGGCAAGCATTTCGCATCCTAATATAATAGCTTATAAAGAAGCATTTTATGATGAACAATCTTAAAGTCTATGTGTAGTGATGGAGTATGCTGATTAAGGTGATTTACAATAATAAATTCAATAACATATACAAAAGAAGTAATTCATATAGGAAATGGAAATTTGGAAAATGATATATTAAATGACTGTTGGTATTCTATTGATTTAATTCATAGCATTACGAACGTTACATTAGATGAAAATTTTACATAGAGATTTGAAGTCTGCAAATGTATTTCTTCACTAAGGGAATTATAAATTAGGAGATATGAATGTATCCAAAGTAGCTAAAAAGGATTTGGTTTATACTCAAACAGGAACTCCATATTATGCAAGTCCTGAAGTATGGAGAGATCAACCTTATGATGCAAAAAGTGATATATGGAGTTTAGGGTGTGTGGCCTATGAAATGGCTGCACTTAAACCTCCTTTTAGAGCTTAAAATATGGAAGGATTATATAAAAAAGTATAAAGAGGATTATATGAACGAATACCATCTAAATTTAGTGGTGAATTAATGACTGTGATTGGTTTATGTTTATAAGTACAAAGCAAATAAAGACCAACATGTGCCTAATTGCTTAGTAATCCTATTTTATTACGGAATGCTAGATAATTTATTATAGAAAGTAGAGTATCATAATAAACACAATCTTCTTAAGCTGGTTCTAATGTTCTTTTGTAAACTATTAAGTTACCAAAAAATTTAAAGCATTTAAAAGAGAAATTACCTAAATCTAAATATTTTATTGAAAGTGTAAATAAATCTTATGATGAAACTCAAGCTAATAGTTCATTTTTGCCATAAATAAATAATCCAAAAGAAATAAGACCAAATTGTTCAGTTCCACCCATTAAGAGTGATAGATATCAATAATAATAAATTTAGTAGAATTCTTTACATGAAGAAAGATCAAAATCAATTGCAAATTCAGTCTAATTATTGGAAATGGAAAGAATAAGATAAAAAAAACTATTGGAAAAATAATAGAATTTAAAGATAAGCATAATTCATCAAAATGCTATTCCATATATAAATAGTTCTTCTTCCTAAATTTAAAATTTGTATGCAAACAAACAACACAATATTAGAGAGGCTCAAAAATAATATATAGAAGCACCGAAGCCTATATGGTGGGGATGATAATGTATTTAATTATTTTATTGATTCTCAATATTATGATTTGATATATATAGTTAATTTTATGTTATATTAAACTAATAAGATTAAGGTACTTGTTATTGGAGATAAACCTTAAGAAAAAACTCGTTTATTATACAGTTACGTTAATGGCAGACCTCCATAAGAATATTGTCATATTGTTTTTGACAATCATATCATTAAGTTCTAAATTAATGGAGAAGAATATATGGTGCATTTATGGTAGAATTTAATAAATAATTTTATTTAAGGGATTCAGCTGGACAAGAACGTTATGAAAGGTTAAGAGAACTATCTTATAAAGATAAAGATATTTTTTTAATTTGTTTTTCTATGGCTTGTAAATTTAGTTTCTAAAATGCTATTTTAAAGGTATAAAAAGTATATAAATTTAGTGGTAAAACGAAGTTTCTCAATATGAAAATAAAAATGGAGTAACTATGATGTTAGGGTTAAAAAGTGAAGAAAGAGATTTATTCTATTAGTCACTTGAAAATGATCATGTAAATGAGACAATTAGATCAATGGGATTATAATATAGAGAGGTTAATTTAAATACTTTGGAAGGATTAACAGAAGCCTTTAATGAGTGCATAAAAATAGTAATTGATAAAAGATAGGAGCATGTATAGTTATAGTTATAAAAATAAAATTTGATTTAAGTAAGATAATAAAAAAAGCAATCATCAGAATGTTAATTACAATGATATATTAATTATTTAAATATCTTATAAATGAATGAATAATTTCGAAAGTTTCTATTAAATCAAGAAAAACCAGAAGTATAATAAAAGAAATCAGAGAATGTACCAGCAATAAGATTGAAATAATAATCTAAAAGAAAGACTAATGTAGATTTAGGTTAAGAGACTTTTGTTTAAAAGAAGATAAAATAAGATGAAAAGGAAGATAAGAAACAACCTAATTTAATGGAAAAATTATAAATGAATCCTATTGATTTAGTAAAATGCACTAAATAATACTCATATGGCAATTATAAAAAATATTACCATTTAAGATTACAACAAAAGTGGGAAGATCCAAGATTAACAGTTTTAGATAGTTGTTATTTTGCTGATAAATCAATTTTAGATATAGGTTGTAATGATGGAACATTGACTTTATTAATAGCACTTAAGTATAAAATTGATTATTATTAAGACATTATCCAAAATTGATTAGAGGAATAGATATTGATTATACATTGATTAATAAAGCAATTGAATAAATGGTTCATTTAGATGATTAATAAAAGAAAATTTAGAAATAAGAGTTTAAACCAATTATTGAGGATTTACCAGTGAGTTTTGAAAAATATATGGAATAACCTAGTTATTATTAATAATAATATTAGTATCTAAAGCTATAGAATAATAGTACATTAATTAGGCAATTGAAGATGTGAATAAATAATAAAAGGAAAGCAGTATTTTTATTTAATTATATAGCAAAGGACAATACATTTCCACATAATGTTTATTTTCGAGTTTAAAATATTATTGGTAATAGAAAGTATGATGAGAAGTATGATACAATATTATGTTTATCAATAACGAAATGGATTCATTTAAATTTTGGAGATATTGGTATCAAGAGATTATTTAAGACTATAATTAATTCTTTAAATGTAGGTGGTCATTTGATTTTAGAACCTCAAGAATGGAAGAGTTATAAAAAGAAGAAATACTATAGTCCTGAATTTAAGTAGAATTATAAGGAGATATAATTAAAACCGCATGATTTCTCTAAAATATTAGAGTAAGAATACAATTTGAAATTAATTTAAACAATAAATCCAGATGATGAAAGTGCAATTAAGAAATCTAAGAGTACATTTAGAAGACCAATAATGATTTTTTTAAAACAGAATGAGAAATCGAATTAATGAATATATGTATAATTCATAACATATATATAAAATCATCCTCTATTAACAATTCATTGTCATTTTTTGGAGACTGGACTAATTTATCAAAAGCTAAATGGAAATTAAAATATATTATTATACCTATAATGGATAAATTTTCTTATAAAACTTCTTCTTATCTTAATTCTAAAGGTTGAATAGAATTTTATTGTAATGTCTTATCATGAGTGGAAAGTTACTTTTAAATATGTGGATTAATTTTGATGATGTTATTATTATGACTATCTTAATTATAATATTATTATTAAATAAGTTCTTCAAGTTTTTAAAGTTCATCAATTTCTTAATCATCATCCTCTAAATATTATTATTACATAAGATTCTCAAAGAAATTTGGATCTATATTATTTTGATTATGAATGAGTATGATTTCAGACTTAATATAATTAGTTTCTTATTAATATTCTTAATGTTATTATTAATCAGGTTATAATTCTTCTTCATTTTAATTGGATTTAAGCATGGAAGATGAAAATTAATCCATCATCATTTTTTCAATATCGTTGAGATTAATATTTGTTTATTGTTTATTATTTTGATTTTGATAATTTTCATCTTAGTAAAATTACTGTGCCATAAGTTCTTCTAATTATTATGTTTCATTTAATTATTTATTTTAAAGAACAGGTAATCGTTCACTACTTTAATCATTACTTTTCAAATAATCACTAGATCTAATAGTTTGTATTTTATCAAGACTTCCACTATGCATAATTGATTTATATTGTTGACTTGTTTAATTAATTGGAGGTTTATGCATTTAATTTTTTACTACTTAATCTGGAATTCCATTTACAGATATTTTAGCACTTACAGTTGCTCCTTCTTTTGGTCTAATCAATCCATTTTCAACCAAAGCATTTTTATCTTTCTATATATGATTTATTCCTTTCTCTTTAATTTCAGCTACTATTTGTATCTTTTTTGTAACTACATTACAAATATCATTATGAGATAAGAGTTATGTTTCTTATAAATTCTCAGTTCTATTGAAATCTTAATGAAAAGACTTTATTTATTATAGAACTTGTTAAAACTTACTTGAATCAGGATTATTGCTCCTTCTTATTGAAATTGATAAACCATTATGCATACTATAACTTGACATATTGCTATTTTATAATTTAAATGATTTTCTATCATCATGTTTTGTATGATACTGTCTTCTTGTTGAAATTACAACAGATTTTAATGGTTCAGTTTCAAGATCTTATATTTTTATTAATAGATACTTCGAAAAGCAGAGTGAGTTAGTAATTGACTTGGAGTTGATCGTTCTTTTGGATTCAATTTAAAGATCTAATTAAAAATCTACTAAATATCTTCTTATCTAGTAATACGTTTGAATTGAAATAATTCTATTTAACAATATCATAATCATTACATCCTTTATTAATAGAGTTGCGAATCTATTCCAAAGTAATGTCAGCAGATATATGGTGCCAAGGTGGCATTTTTGTGAGCATCTCCACAAATATGCAACCTGCACTCCAAACATCCGAATATTAAGAGTATTCTTAGCCATTGAAGCATTCAGGTGCACTGTACATGGATAGTTTATATTTGTTTAGTATGTATATATCACTTAATTTGGCATTTGCTTCTCCATCAACTAAGACATTAGAAGTTTTAAGATTCCTTGTTTAAATTCATCGATACCTATGTAGTATACCTTCAGTATGAAGATATTCCAATCCTTACAATATTTGTTTCATAAACATAATAGCTAGTTAAGGTGAGAATGAACTGAACTTTTGTAGAAGCCAACTAATAGATCCTCCACTTTCATAGGGCATTAGTATTTTGATTTCATTTTAGATTACTTCATTATTGAATACTGAGTAATCCCAACCTATAATTTGATGGATATTCTTGAATTCTAATCGTTTAAGTGTATCAACAATGCTGGTCACGTTGTCAAAATCATCTTCTGAACTTAGTTTGAACTATAATCATGGAAGTTATTACAATTTTCAATGCTAATAGTTACCCATTAGTTGTATTTAATGCAGAGTATACATTACATCCCTCTTAAATCAATTCGCCTTAAATATAATCATAAACATTGTTCTACAATTGATTATTACTTATCTTACTTCTTCTCCATCCTCTTCCCCTTATTCTTCACCCTATTAGTCTGGAAAGTCCTCATTATTTGACTCTCATATTTGAATATGCTATACTTTCATACTCTTATCACTCAACTCTTTTCGATGAGCCACTTTTACTTCTTCATTTTTCTTTTTATAGCACGGAGCTGTACCCATTATAAATTATTATATAATAAACCAATTCAAATTATATATGAATTTAATACAAATCATGATTTGAATTAGATAATTATTACATTTTCAAAACATTATTTTATAAATGATAACTCTCTTGATTTCAAATTAATCGTTTCACGAGAGAAATCAATAAATAAAGATAAGAATCTACTTTAATCAATCTCATTTAATTTAACAACTATCTATAAATAATTCATATAATAAAGAATTTTGAAATACGTACTAAATAAGTATTTGATATAATTAATATTATTAACACATCCAGTTCTAGTTTCTAAGTTGAGTGATAATCTAAATATTAATGTTTATATATATTAATTAATTATATTTATGGACGAGTCATAATTCAATTCTTTATAGAAAACTATAATCATTCCTCCTAGAACACTTCATTAAACTATATTATAAGAGTATAACAATCCAAATCCTAACTTCTCTTAATTTATACATCAAACTTAAAACAATCCTTGTTTAATCAACGGTGAATTAATTCCCATCTTTATCGTTTACGAATCTGATGTTAATCTTTCACATTCATTTCAACTCAAAAAAGATAATCAAATTATGAGATGTTATCCATCTTATTATTAAACTGATCTCTATGTTCATAATACATATATAGAAACTAAAAAATAAACCTTATAAGACAACAAAGTTATATATTGTAAGATTCTTGAAATCAATATCAATGAGGAATACCTTGAGTCAGAAATCGAATTAATTATCTTTGGAACCTATGAATAGTAGTATTAGTATAAGGGTATCAAATATATTTTGAGAAATGAAATTCCCAAAGAATAATATAAATAATTACAATATCAACATACAATCAAAGTCACTATTAGCAATGCATTTGATTTACAATATAATTATTTTGGGAACACTATTAAAATGAACATTGTTTTTAAAATTCAATAACATACATCATTAGATTAAATTGAAATGGATTTTCTTTTAAGTGAAAGTTCAATGGTGTGGAAGGATGTTGGCATTAATAGAATTGTACCAAAATGCATGTTATAAAATATATCCATAAATAAATAATACCTTAATAATGAAGAAGGTTACATTGAAGTACTATTAGATTGGCCAGCTATGTTATAAAATGAACAATTATAACCAGATCTACCATCAAGAAGGTTGAGCATTGTATAAGTTAATCCAGTATTAGAAATTAAAACACCTCTTTATATTAGATGGGGATTGTAAAAATATACTAAATGCTGTACCATTCTATGGAAAGTTAAACCAATATAAACTATTGGAGGAGAAATTAAAGAGGTTGTAAGATATAAGGATTCATAAAATTAAGAATATTTAGCATTAAAAATAGTTCTAATCAATTATTCTGGGAAAGAACATGAAATAATATTTTGTCCTCCTTCTTAAATATTTGGAAAGAAACTTAATTAAAAAAAAGATTAACCTTTAGTGGTTTTAGGTATCACCTTGTCCAAAGAATAAAATTTAGGAATCTTATAGCCAAATTAAATATGTGAAACAATTCTAAGAGTTCAATTAATTAATAATGGAATTTTAAATATGCAACAGATCAATCTAAAAATAGATAATTAATTAACTGAGTTAAGTTTGAATTTTTTATATTCTCATCAATGATTGGAGATAATTTAATATGTATCAAAATATTTTGTATTTTTATTTTTATAATAATTATAATAACTCTTATTAGTATTAATCAATAATGTTATCAATAATGTGTTTGTACTTTAGATTGCAAATTATTAATTTATTTTATTGTTTTTTATGAAAAAATTTAAGTGACTAAATGAAAATTATTAGTTTTTTGAATTATAATTCTAAATTGTCTTTTTATTAATTAAAAGATACAAAAAATTTAAGAAATTTAAATTTTGATTCCATTTAAGTAAATTAGGTTAATTTTTTAGTTGTTGTAATTTTATAGTATAAAGTTTTAATGTGTAAAATAACAAATTAGAAATGATATAATAATTTAATTTGTTTGATATGTAAGACAATGATATAAATGATATGAATTGTTTGGTTTAGAGTTTATATGAAAATAGTTATTATAGAGTGAAAAATATAAATAGAAAAGGAAATATAAAATAATTAATCTAACTAAAAGTAATTTCAAAAATTAAAATGACAGAACTTCTGTTGATAATGAATGTTAGAATTAATGAAGGTAAAGAGGGTACAATAAATGTACATTTTGGAGATGATCCTGAGGTGTTAGCTAGAGATTTTTGTCTTTAATACAATGTAAATTAGAAATTGGTTCCTTTATTGATAGAGAATATCAATAAAAATTTAGAAGTGGCAGAATAATAGAAAGGGAATAATATATAGTCTGGTTAAGATACAATGTAATATTCAACAGAAACATGTAATTCAAAATTGATAGAAACCCCATTTAATGAACCATTGCATCAATTGTCAACGAACAATTATTTTTCAAATAATTCATCAGTTCATGAGAGACTTTATGAAGATGCAAAAAATAAGAGATTGAAATAGAAATTGAATGTTTAAGATAGTAGATCAAAGAAAATAAAGATACAAGAGTCTGAAATAAATTATGGTTTATTTTTGTATTAGAAGGGTTTAAAAAAGAATGAGGAGAAGTTGTAGAGAGCTGAAAGTGCTAAAAAAGATTTGTAAAATTCATAATTAGTTGAATGTACACATCATCCAAGGATAAATTATGTATCTCGTTAATTGGCCCAACGTAAGGGAGATTCAGTTAGTGAACATTTGAATAGATTAGCTTAGGAATAAAAAATAAGGAGAGAGAATGCAAGTTAATAACATTTGTAAACTGAAGTGTAGAGTTGTTCTTTTAAGCCATAAATTAATCGAATGTATTGAAAATAGAGTTAAGCAAATAGATCACGATATATAGTAGAAGAAAGAAATGAAAGAGGTAGTTAGCCATGGTATGAGTCATTGTATTCAGATTACGATTCCAAAAGATAAAAATTAGAGTAATTGGAGAGATAGTATTTTTCATCAAATTATACATTTCATCCAAAAATTGATATGATATCAGAGAAGATAGTGTAGGGAAGCAGTTTTGAATAGAGATAAAAGATTAGATCAACATCGAGATAGAATTTGTCAGTTTGTGATGAAGAGAATTAGTTATTTAAACCAAAAACAGGGAGACCTCCTGAGAAGAGACCAAGAAATTTATTTTAAAATTTATATAATTAGGCAAAGATATAAGAGAAGAAACGATAAAATTAGATTGTGTAGTAACATTAATAATAAATGAATGCATCATAAATACGTGCGAGTGAGAGATCAAATTAAATGATATAATCATAAATTGAATTTTCATTAATGAAGATTTTTGATTGTTTAGATAGTGATAAGGATGGATATATAAATTCAGAGAATTGTGATGTTGGTGATTTAGAGGAGAATGTTATTAAGATTTTATCTCCTTTACTTTTGGAAATGGAATCTGGAAATCATACTTTGAATAAGAAAGAGTTTATAGAATCAGCTGAGAGGTTAGTTGCTACATTGTCTCCTGGAGAAAAACATGATTTATTGAAAAAGCCAAGTAGAAAAGTTGATGTTCCACAATATAGTTTTAATGTGTGTAAATATTCTTTAAATTATAGCCATCTTTAAATAGGAGATCTTAAAAAATTGTAGCAGCGAAAAAGAATTGAAGATTTTAATTAATTTTTATATTAAAAATATAACTTATGTCAGACGAAGACCCATATAAAGATGATGATCTTGATAAAGGAGACAATCCTGATGATGATAATAAAGATTATCCAGATGATTTTAAAGATGAATAAGATAATAATGAAGATGGAGATTTCGTAGATGATGGAGACAATCCTAAAGAAGATGATGAGTAATATATTTAGTATTTATTAGATATAGTCTTAAAAATAATGAAATAGCTGGTGGTCTTAAAATAACTATTGATGAATAGGGTTTAGATGACAATTAGAAATTAAGAAAGTTGAAAGATTTATTGGGATAACATGTTTAATAGGTTTAAAAATTAAGAAGGAGAAATAATAATTTAAGAACATAACTCAAAAAATTAGGAGATAAGGCTGAAAAATTAGTCTAATCTAATGTTAGGAAATAAAAATTATAAGAGTAAAAATTAGATCCAAAACATAATCATTTAGCTGAAAAGAAGATCTTATATGAAATTAAAAATAATAATAAATCTATAAAAGATTTTGCTGATAAGATAGATTCAAGAATATGTAAACTAATTATAAATATTATTAAGTGGATAAATTGATTACTATTGATAAAATGGAGTAATCCAATGCATTATTGAGAGAATAGATTAAGGCATTAAAAGATAGGAATAAAAATTTGGATTAAACTGAAGAGGTTAATAAACTTAGTAATGAAATTATTCTTGTAGAGAAATAAATTGCTGATGAGGAAAGACTTAATAGAAAAATGTTTTTAATTATAAGGGAGTAAGAAGTAGAACTGAAATAATAATAAATTGATTGTGATTATGAAGGTAGATTGAATAATTTAAAAGATTAAATTAAATAATTAAAAGATAATATTAAAGATTCATAGAAAGAAGAATTACATTAAACAAGAAAAGAGATTGAAATGAATAATTACTTTACGGAACTTAAAAAAATGTATTTAGTATATTTATATATAAATAGTTATCGTTCTATGTGTAATAAATTAAATAAACCATGTGAAGAGAAGGATTATTATTATAAGCCAGATGAGTAGGATAATAATAGTAATTCAATAAATTATGCACAAAAAATATAAAAAGATAATTAGATGGAATTTTTAAAGTAAAAGAAAAATTAAAAAAAGCCAGAAGAGAATGATGAATTGAATAAAGCATTGATGGAATTTAAAAAAGATAATTAGAAATTTTAAGAACTTTAAAATGATGTGTTGAAATTACAATAAGAAATAGAGAAGAGAGAGAAATTAACATTATAAGATAGGAAATAATAAATAGAAGAGTATTCAAAATTGAGTGAAGATGTAGGATAATTAGCAAAATAATTAAAAGAGAAAGAAGTTTAAACAAAATCTACGGTTACTAAATTAAATGATTTACAAAGATAGTTATAATTGTTAGATAAAAGATAAGTATAAGAATAAATACAGAGTACCTAATAGAAACCTGAGAGTATTATGTTTGGAATAGATAAAAAGACAGAGACATGTTTACCATTTGATGATTCTAAGAATTTAGATTGGACAGCAAATATGCCAATAAATTAAATAGTAGTTTGTAAAAATAGTAAAAATGATTTAATTATTGGTTTGGAATTGTCATATGGAAATGCGGAAAGTAAAGAAGAATCAAAGATAACTAAACATATAGGATTATAAGAAGGTAGTATTGGTAAGGAATCAATTAATATCACAAATGAAGATAAATTGAGTTATATTTCTGGATTTTATAACTAAGAGTAGATAATATTTTTGAAATTTGAAACAAGCAAGAAGAGAATAATATAGGTGGGTAATATGAAATATAAAGATAATTATACAAAAGATTTTCGTATTGAAATTAAAGACAGAGAGATATTAGGATTTAATGGGATTTTAGATTATACATAAGGTAATACTCTATTTAGATAATTAGAATCTTAAAATCCATCTGAAAGATATTTAGTAGCAATAGGTTTGAATTTAAAGTAAAAGGAATTAGATATATCAACAAAAAAGAGATTAAAAAAATAGAAAATGTTAGAAGAATAGGATAAATAAAGAGTTCCTGTAGATTATAGAAAAATAACATATCCATTTAAAAAGAATAATCCAAAACATTTAGAATTAATTAAATCTTAACCTAAATTAGAAGTTTCTGTATATGATGAAGATAAAGGTAACGAAATAATTAATATAAATAGTTAAATTGTATTAGAAAGAGAAGGAGAGATATTTATAAGCATAAAGAGCGTAATTGGGTTTATCATCAGTAAAGTAATTCAGTCCTTCAACATATAAAAAAAAGGAATATTAAGAGGAAGATTAAAAAGTATATTTATTATGATATTGAATAATAGAGAAAAGAAATGAGCGAATAAAGAAAGGTGAGAGTAGAATAGAAGAGAGAAGAAATTAAAAATAGTTTAACTTTGCCAGGAATAGATTAAAAGACTCCATAAGATAAGGATAAGAAAGGAGGGAATGCCTAAAAAACTAATAGTCCATAAAAACAATAGAAATAAGGATAGAAATAGGGATAAAAGGAGGCTCCAAAAAAAGATGATTCTAAAGCTAAAAAAAAATGAATAATTTACAAATTTCAACACCTTCAGCATTACATCGTTCTTCTATTCTAAGTTTCGAAGTTGACACCATTTATTAATCTCTAATAGAGGTCCATGTTATCGTCTAGGATAGCATAAAGCATCTAATGGTATCTCTAAATAATGGTCTGAATGTGAGTGATGTATTGAGAAATATGCCATCATATACATTCATCAAGACTATAGAATTGTTAGAATCAATAGTAAAGTAGTTTGAATATGACAAAATCTAATCAGAATTGGAGGAGGAGAGTGAACCAGGGAAACCTTAGTATGATTAATGGAGAAGATAAAATGCTTAATTATTGAAAGAGTTTATAAGAATACCAGAGAATAAGATTGAAGTATTAGTAGAAGAATAGTATGAAGAGAAACGTCCTTGTTGGGATGAGTTTTAACCTGAAATAGTATAAACATAATAAGAGCCAGAGAGTGATTTATATGATGATCATCTTAGAGGTCAATTATCATATAGAGAGAAAATGAGAAAGGAATTTTAAGACAATTTAGCATAGATAGAGAAAGAGAAATAAGAAGAGAGAAGAAAAATAAGAGTTTTAGTTGATGGTTAACCAGATAAGGTAACTTATGATGTTGATGGTAAAATAATACTAAAAGCTAAAAGAGTATAATTAGCACCTGTAAGAAAGATTGAAGGATAATAAATGAAAGAATCAGCTCCATCTTAAACAGAAGAATTAACAGTTATTAAACCTAAGAGACCAGCATTTTTAAAACCTAAATTAAAGGTGTTTAAAGTATAACCAAGTATTGAAAATGGAGAAGCATTAAAAATTATAGCATAATAAGAGAGAAATCATATCCAAGAATTTATGGATATTTTAGAATTAAAACCTGGAGTATTTTTAGAACTTGAACATTATGAAAAAGGACATAGAAATAAACATACATAAGCATAAGATTTACCATACAGAATATAAAATAAGATGGATTAATATTTAGCATCTGAATAATCATAATCTATTCGTTTATCTAAAGAAGAGTATTCAAGTATTACAATGAATAATAGTATTTTGAGAGGATCTTATGAATAATCATATTTAAAAAAGAAATCAGGAGGATAAAGATAAAATACAACTTAAAAGACTAAATAAAGTGATTATGATGATACAATACCTAAAAATGGTATAGTAAAAGTTAATGATATTGGCAAATTTTATGACCTATTAATAAAAGATTCAGAAATTATAGAGGAGAATACTTAATCATAATTTCCTAATATTATAATGGATAATAAATAAAGTAGTCTTAGTATTTAAGAATTAAAATCACCATTAAAATCGGAATTACCATCTATACCTGCTACATAGTTTTATAAATATCTATCTAAATAATAACCATCTAGTCTATCTAGAATTGATAATAATAGTGTTACTGGTTCTGTAACATCTAAATTAACAAGAGATAGATCTATGCCTGATGTTATTAATAATATGAAATTACATTAATGTCTAGCTGCTCCAAAAATTGGTAAGTTTTTAGGATTTGGAATCAATTAAAAATATAAATTTTGAATATATAATCTTTTAATTTTATTTATAATTCCAAATCATTATCACCATTATTCATCACTCTAATCCATCTTCTCAAAAAACATTGCTTATTATCTTAACTTTTAATTGAAATGAAGATCTCGTTAAATCTTTACATAATTCTAAAAATGTTCTTATTTTGACAAATATTTCACTTCCTTTTAATCCTCTACATAATTTTATATAACATTTTACTTTTCTAATAACTACTCTTCTTTATCTAATCTACTTTCTGTCTTACTTTCTTTTAATCTCCTTCTTTTAAACTATGAATATTAACAACATCCAAATCTTAATTTCTATCACCCTTTATTGATGTCAAACAATGTAAGTGATACCATACTTTCTTATCAAAACCAAATCCAGGAGGTCTTGTTAATACATGTCCAATCCTTATATCATCCTTAACTATGTTCTATAAACAGTTCTAACATTTCACTCTATTTGATAAAGCATAACCTACTTCTATATACTATTTCATTATTTTAAATCAAATTTAACTATACTTATTTCCATCTTTTCTATTCATAAAATCATTCCAATATTTTTTCCACTCTATATCTATCCTTTCTATTTCACATATTCTATACACGAACCTATTTCAATCTATCCTCAAACTTCATATTTTTGTTTCATATATTTTCACCCTATTATTTTTCTTAATTTATATTCCTATCCCTAATAACTCACTATTCATTAATTCTCTTATCAATCTTCTCAATTTAAAGATGTTTAAAAACATACATATCAATATTATATATACAAATAAATAAATATTTCTTATCTCTTTTCTTAACAGTTATTTTTTTTACTCATAATCAATTGTAACCATAATTCCTCCAAATCAATCTTTTTATATAATTATTGACTTCTATTGATTCAAGAATTATTTAAAGCCTTAATTTTGATTAAATTCTTATTGAGTTTATTTTAACAATGGATTCAAACTTTTAACTAGTTTTATTGGTTAAATTATTACTTTATTAAAAAATAATGTTAATATCAATGATTCTTAACTATTAAATTAAACTTTTATATTGCTTATTCTCAAAATTTGAGAAATAACATAAAAAGAGCTACTTTATAATTTAAACATATAAAAATTAATTGATTTAGAGAATCTAATTGTAAATTTATAATGTTATTATAGTATAATTATAAAAAGTGATTGATTATAGAAGATTGAAATTATATTTGATTATTTTTATATTTATATTAAAATATTTTTAAATTTGAGTTGTTTCACCTTCTGGATTAATGTTAATCATAAATTTAATAACAATTAATAATGAAGCTATATTGATTTATATAATATTCGATATTAAGAGGTATTTTAACAATTTTATCAGTGAAAATATTGAATACTTCTAAACTATGACGCATTAATTGATGAATTGCTCTAATTTGGATATTTATAAAGATTTTTAAATATTATTATTGAATTAGATGAAAATCATGGATGAGAGTGTATAGAATCCTGAAAATAGAGAACAAAGAAATAATTTATCTTAAAAAAAAGAACTCAGGTCACGTTCTAAAATAGTCCCAGGCATATTCTAAGAATATAAGAGAACATATATCAAAGTACCTCCAGTTTTTAAGGATTAATTATCTAGACTTGTACTCAAGGAAGGGTTTAAAATTAAAGAAGTATAATATTATCAATAGGTTTATTAGGCTGCTAAGAAACTCTCGATAAAATATGCTACAGCTAAGACTATTATATTCCATTAAAGATAGGAAAGGAAATAAATTATATAAGTAGGATCAAAGATGTGTTCATACACTGAACTACAATCAGTGAGAATATCAAAGTTGAGACTAATTTCAACAACCTCGAGTGATATAATTTCAAATGTTGAGTATCAACTAGTCCCTCAAAATACTATATAATACTTATGAAAAATCTATTTTCATTAGGATTCCTATTTTGAATAAATAATTTGATAACTCAATTTAAAAATCAATTAACAGTTCTCATTCTTTCTCTCTTCTTTTTATTAAAACTCATAACGTTTATCCAAGTTTTACTATCCTCATTCAAATACTTATCACAAAATATATAAATCCTTATTTAAATTTTATAATCATTGAATATCAATTACTTTTAATTAAAATAATAAACATTATAAATCTATTCTAGATTCTCCATTTAAAATCATGAGCTTGTACTATATATGAATAGTTATATAGCTTATATTTATAAATCATTATGATAATTATTCTTAATGCTAATTCAAAACTTATTAAATCTTACATTCTAAATAAGATTCTCTATAAAAATCCTTTATGTAATTTAATATATTTATATCTCTACTTTATTCTGTAAAAATATAACACGTTACACTATTCTTTATGAGATTAATTTTGTATTTATTTTATAAATACATATATCTATTTATTCATAGTATTATTTGATCATTAAAATTATATATAGAACAATTTGAAATTAGCCTTTTTTAGAAAATTAATATCGAACTTCTTATTCCCTAAATTATCGTTGATAATTCTATTGGAAGTTTTTGCAATATTTTTGAAAATAAAATTTGTTGTTTCTCCAAATATTAAATCAACTATGAAGAAAAATGTTTAATTTAGATTCAATATCAGAATCATATTATTAATTTTAATTCACTTAAACATAAAGATGAAGATGAGCACTATTTAAATATAATGAAATGTTTCAAATTAAGAATAAAATAAGTTAATTGTCAATGTCAAAGGGTGAAATAAAAATAATAAAAAAAAAAATTGAATCCATATTTAAATGTTGCTTAACTTATATTTTTTTAAATAAATAAAAGAGAATACTCAGCAGTACATTATATGAAAAATATAAAAATAGAAAGGTTTCATTATATATGTTTAATACTAATAAAAATTAGATTTATAATATATATAATAATTAATATGTCCTAAGGTATTTATTATAAATTAATAAACTAAATCATTTTGCTAGGGCTTTCTCTCTTTAGTTTAGGATTAATGTAATAAAATAGGTGAAGAAAACTACAGTTGAGATAAGAAATGCCCAGAAATGAAAGAGATTTTCACCTCCAATACATTTTCCTGTCCAAGGACAATGATGATCATAATTTGTAATACATACCTTACAAAATGGACAATGTTCAGAACGAGCTGGTTATATTTTTTAACATTTTTCACAATACCAAACATTTCTCTATTATGGCTTATTTGACAAAGTATACAACTATCCTAAGTATTATTAATTTAAAGATGAATCATTTGAAATTCCAGGATTAGCTAATCCTACACCCAAATAAAATATTGATTATGCAATAGTAATTATTATTGCAAAAGTTATATCATTACCCAAAGCTTTTTATTATCTCATCAAAATGTAGGCAAATATATTGAATCCAATCAAAGTACCAGCAAATAATGGCCCTATAATATTTTATATAATATAACAATGAGGTCCTAAAAATATCGTTTTCGCTATGATCACATATTCTCCAAATGAACTATTATCTCTTAAAGGTCTTGGTTTGCATTCTGGTGACATATCCATTGAACCATAATTTTCAGCACCTTCAGCCTTTATTAATATATGCTCCATCTTATGTATGACAAATATCAATTAATTATTATTAATAAGTTAATTATATGTTAATATGATAATAATACTTAATAATTAATAATAAATAATAGTGAATGCTACAAAAATTAAAAACAATCGTTCTTTATTTATTAATAATAAATTTAAAGATATTTAAAGATGTATGTATAACTAATAAGCATTTTAGATAATATTATTTTTATTAATAAAATAAATTAATGTATTTTATACAATAATTGTAAAATTAATTATACTTAAAATGAGACACTATAATTGAATATAACTTAAAATATAGTCTAATTATGAAACTTAAATATTTTATTTTAATTAAACAAATTAAATAATACTCAACTTTGTGTTGAATTATATCAAAGGTTGATAAAAATAAACTTACATTTTGGAATTAAATAAATATCTTAACAAGTAAATTTTATTCAAAGAAATGAACTTATTTTTTAATAAATCTCAATCATTAATTCTTATATATCTTGGATAATTAAATTATTATCAATAAAGTTACTTAAAGTTCCCTAGAAAATATATAATTTCATATTTAAGATTTACCAATATAATTCAACTTTAATCATACATAATTTTGAGAAGACATTATATTTTTAAAAAGATTTATATCAATTATTATTAGATATTATAACAAATTTAGCTAAGTTAAAATTGAAATATTTACATTCATATAATCCTTTTATATATATCATATATTAAAGGGATAACATAAAACTCAATCTTCAAACTGTTAGATAGTGTAACTCCATATTTATCTGTATTTTTATGATTCGTGATCAAATATAAATTATAATTTGATATTCTCAAATTCAGAATAATTTACCATGTTTTTAATAATTTATAATATTCATAATTTAAAACTTAAAATTATTAGAAAAAATTATAATTAAAATGAATTGTAAAGGCTCTTTAAAATTTTAATGATAAAATAAAAGACAAAGTTAATTTTTATGGTAAATTTTAAAAAAATGATAAAAAAAAATTGAATTATCTTTTATAGAAACAAATATCTAAGATTATTATTTTATGACACTAAAACTTTTCTTTCAATAAATTTCAAATTCCAACATCTAATAATATGATTTTTTCCTAAAGAATATAAGAGATTTGTAGATGTAAAAAATAAAAGAATATTATTATAATAATTTTCTATTAATGAATTTTCTTCTAATACTGGAAAAACTTTATCCTCATCTAGACTAAGAAATTCTAAATATTTATTATTTTATGTAGTTAAAAAATTTTGGATACTCAAAACGCTTCAGAGTTTGTATTGTTTTAAATTTAATATATTTTATTTATATTTCCAATTTATTATTTTANTAAAGATGTATGTATAACTAATAAGCATTTTAGATAATATTATTTTTATTAATAAAATAAATTAATGTATTTTATACAATAATTGTAAAATTAATTATACTTAAAATGAGACACTATAATTGAATATAACTTAAAATATAGTCTAATTATGAAACTTAAATATTTTATTTTAATTAAACAAATTAAATAATACTCAACTTTGTGTTGAATTATATCAAAGGTTGATAAAAATAAACTTACATTTTGGAATTAAATAAATATCTTAACAAGTAAATTTTATTCAAAGAAATGAACTTATTTTTTAATAAATCTCAATCATTAATTCTTATATATCTTGGATAATTAAATTATTATCAATAAAGTTACTTAAAGTTCCCTAGAAAATATATAATTTCATATTTAAGATTTACCAATATAATTCAACTTTAATCATACATAATTTTGAGAAGACATTATATTTTTAAAAAGATTTATATCAATTATTATTAGATATTATAACAAATTTAGCTAAGTTAAAATTGAAATATTTACATTCATATAATCCTTTTATATATATCATATATTAAAGGGATAACATAAAACTCAATCTTCAAACTGTTAGATAGTGTAACTCCATATTTATCTGTATTTTTATGATTCGTGATCAAATATAAATTATAATTTGATATTCTCAAATTCAGAATAATTTACCATGTTTTTAATAATTTATAATATTCATAATTTAAAACTTAAAATTATTAGAAAAAATTATAATTAAAATGAATTGTAAAGGCTCTTTAAAATTTTAATGATAAAATAAAAGACAAAGTTAATTTTTATGGTAAATTTTAAAAAAATGATAAAAAAAAATTGAATTATCTTTTATAGAAACAAATATCTAAGATTATTATTTTATGACACTAAAACTTTTCTTTCAATAAATTTCAAATTCCAACATCTAATAATATGATTTTTTCCTAAAGAATATAAGAGATTTGTAGATGTAAAAAATAAAAGAATATTATTATAATAATTTTCTATTAATGAATTTTCTTCTAATACTGGAAAAACTTTATCCTCATCTAGACTAAGAAATTCTAAATATTTATTATTTTATGTAGTTAAAAAATTTTGGATACTCAAAACGCTTCAGAGTTTGTATTGTTTTAAATTTAATATATTTTATTTATATTTCCAATTTATTATTTTANTGGCTTATTTGACAAAGTATACAACTATCCTAAGTATTATTAATTTAAAGATGAATCATTTGAAATTCCAGGATTAGCTAATCCTACACCCAAATAAAATATTGATTATGCAATAGTAATTATTATTGCAAAAGTTATATCATTACCCAAAGCTTTTTATTATCTCATCAAAATGTAGGCAAATATATTGAATCCAATCAAAGTACCAGCAAATAATGGCCCTATAATATTTTATATAATATAACAATGAGGTCCTAAAAATATCGTTTTCGCTATGATCACATATTCTCCAAATGAACTATTATCTCTTAAAGGTCTTGGTTTGCATTCTGGTGACATATCCATTGAACCATAATTTTCAGCACCTTCAGCCTTTATTAATATATGCTCCATCTTATGTATGACAAATATCAATTAATTATTATTAATAAGTTAATTATATGTTAATATGATAATAATACTTAATAATTAATAATAAATAATAGTGAATGCTACAAAAATTAAAAACAATCGTTCTTTATTTATTAATAATAAATTTAAAGATATTTAAAGATGTATGTATAACTAATAAGCATTTTAGATAATATTATTTTTATTAATAAAATAAATTAATGTATTTTATACAATAATTGTAAAATTAATTATACTTAAAATGAGACACTATAATTGAATATAACTTAAAATATAGTCTAATTATGAAACTTAAATATTTTATTTTAATTAAACAAATTAAATAATACTCAACTTTGTGTTGAATTATATCAAAGGTTGATAAAAATAAACTTACATTTTGGAATTAAATAAATATCTTAACAAGTAAATTTTATTCAAAGAAATGAACTTATTTTTTAATAAATCTCAATCATTAATTCTTATATATCTTGGATAATTAAATTATTATCAATAAAGTTACTTAAAGTTCCCTAGAAAATATATAATTTCATATTTAAGATTTACCAATATAATTCAACTTTAATCATACATAATTTTGAGAAGACATTATATTTTTAAAAAGATTTATATCAATTATTATTAGATATTATAACAAATTTAGCTAAGTTAAAATTGAAATATTTACATTCATATAATCCTTTTATATATATCATATATTAAAGGGATAACATAAAACTCAATCTTCAAACTGTTAGATAGTGTAACTCCATATTTATCTGTATTTTTATGATTCGTGATCAAATATAAATTATAATTTGATATTCTCAAATTCAGAATAATTTACCATGTTTTTAATAATTTATAATATTCATAATTTAAAACTTAAAATTATTAGAAAAAATTATAATTAAAATGAATTGTAAAGGCTCTTTAAAATTTTAATGATAAAATAAAAGACAAAGTTAATTTTTATGGTAAATTTTAAAAAAATGATAAAAAAAAATTGAATTATCTTTTATAGAAACAAATATCTAAGATTATTATTTTATGACACTAAAACTTTTCTTTCAATAAATTTCAAATTCCAACATCTAATAATATGATTTTTTCCTAAAGAATATAAGAGATTTGTAGATGTAAAAAATAAAAGAATATTATTATAATAATTTTCTATTAATGAATTTTCTTCTAATACTGGAAAAACTTTATCCTCATCTAGACTAAGAAATTCTAAATATTTATTATTTTATGTAGTTAAAAAATTTTGGATACTCAAAACGCTTCAGAGTTTGTATTGTTTTAAATTTAATATATTTTATTTATATTTCCAATTTATTATTTTATTTTAGAGAATTTAATTTACTTTATAAACCTATAATTGATTCTTTGATTATTTACTAATTTAATTTATATAAAAAGATATCTTTCTTGATAAGAAATTGAATGTTTTTTTAACATAACTGAATTTGTTATTTATTACACATTAGTTCATATCACTTAATATTATTTTTATTTTCAATTTATTTAAAAAATTAATGTTTTAATAGAATTAGACAATTGTTGTGGATGGTATCGAAATTTTACTGAGAGGGCTACTTTTCAAAGCTAATGAAGGCAATGTTTATTAGGGAATTATTAAATCCAATAAGAAAAAAGTTGCTATAAAAGAATTAGATCATTATTAAGACTATCTAGATGAAGTTTTAACAATTTTAAAGGGAAAGAAACATTCTAATATTATAGAAATAATTGCTATATCGAATGATAGAAACAGGATTATTATGGAATTAACAGATGGATCAGTTAAAGATCTGATGAAAAATAACTTTGTATTAAACAAGGAAACTATAATGATAGATGATATATTCATATAAGTATAATATTTATATGAAATTTAGATGGTCTAAGGTGTAAATGAATTTCATTAATATGGTTTAATACATAGAAATTTAAAACCAGAAAACTTTTTTTACTTTTTAAATTAAGAAAACAAAAAAATAATCATAAAATTAATTGATTTTGGTACTTATGAATTAAACAATCAAATATACACATAGAATGTTGGTACAATTAATTACATTGCTCCAGAATTAGTAAGAAATATCCCTTATGATTAATCTATTGACATTTGGTCATTAGGCATTATTTATTATAAAATGATAACAACAGAGGATTTTTTTAATGGTATTCATTTATATTTTTTCAGGTAATACGATTGATGAAATTAAATAATAAATATAAGAAATAGTTTAAATACAAATAGATTAGAAAATAAAAAACCATAAATAATTAAATTTTGAAGAGAAAGAATTACTTTTAAATATGTTAAAGATTTAAAAAAATGAAAGGTTTAAGTGTTTATAAATTATAAATAAACTTAGGGATTAAACACCAATTGATGAAGGTTTATTATAAAATTTAATTTATTAGTAGATAAATAGTGGAAATAAAAAATGAAATATATTGATCTATGGATTTAAAATCCAAAAAATGATGAAGTTGACAAAAAAATAGGTTTTTTGTTTTTATATTAAATAGCTGAATTATTATTAGATGATAAATTTGTTGAAAAAGCTATGTAATACTTTGATAAACTAATAGCAATTAATCCGAAAAAAGATAATACTTATGAGAGAATAGGTACTTTTAATTTAATTATTAAATAGCTAAATTGTTATTAAAAAATAATAAATGTTAAGAAGCAATTAAATACATTGATAAATGGATTGCAATTAATCCAAAAAAGCATTCTACTTATGAGAGAATAGGTTTTTTTAATTTAAATTTTAAATAGTTAAGTTGTTATTAGAAAATAATAAGTATTAAGAAGCAATATAATATCCCATATATCCTGTTAACGTTATAAAATAAATTTATTAGAACATAATTAATGAATTTTATTCTCCTAACTAATAATTAATGATCCAAATCTTTTATTTTCACTATACATTGATAAATGCATTGCAATTAATCCAAATAATGATGAAGCATATAGATCAATAAGTATTTTAAATTTACTTATCAAATAGCCGATTTGTTATTAAAAAATGATAAGTGTTCAGAAGCAATTAAATACTTTGATAAATGGATTAAAATCGATCTTAAAAATTATGAGACTTATAGATCAATAAGTTTTTTAAATTTACTTATTAAATAGCCGATTTGTTATTGAAAAATGATAAGTGTTAAGAAGCAATCCGATACTTTGATCAATGGATTGCAATTAATCCATATCATTAGAATACTTATTTTTTATTAAGTACATTAAATTAACATATTAAATAGCTGATTCGTTATTAAAATATGATAAGCGTTAAGAAGCAATTAAATACTTTGACAAATGGATTTCAATGAATCCAAAAAATTAACGTATTTATTTATAAATAGGTATCTCAATTTAACATATTAAATAGCTGATTTGTTATTAAAAAATGATATGTGTTAAGAAGCTATTATGTACTTTGATCAATGGATTTCAATTAATCGATATAATTAAAGTACTTATTTTTTATTAAGTACGTTAAATTAATATATTAAATAGCTGATTTATTATTGCAAAACAATAAGTGCTAAGAAGCAATTTAATACTTTGATCAATGGATTGCAATTGATCTAAAAAATTATGATGCTTATAAATAAATAGGTTTTTTAAATTTACATATTAAATAGCTGATTTGTTATTAAAATATCATCATTGTTAGAAAGCAGTTAGGTACTATGATTAATTGATTGCAATTCATCCAAAATAAAAAAGTACTCTTTTTGAAATAGGTTTATTTAATTTACATATTAAATAGCTGATTTATTATTAAAAAAGGATAAATGTTAAGAGGCAATCCGATACTTTGATCAATGGATTGCAATCGATCCAAAAAATTATGATACTTATTTATTAATTAGTAAGTCAAATTAAAATATTAAATAGCTAATTAGTTATTAAAAAATAATAAGTTTTAAGAAGCAATTAAATACTTTGATCAATGGATTGTAATCGATCAAAAACATTATGATACTTATAGATAAATAGGTTTCTTAAATTTACATATTTATTAGCTGATTTGTTATTCCAATATAGAAACAATATCCAAAATATAGAATTAACTGTTAAATAAATTACAAATCAATCTGAAAAATAATAATTAATATTAAAATGTATTTTTCTTTATTATATTTAAAGTTTTTAACTAGAAAAAATGAAAGAATAACATATAATGGTATATTGATATATAAATAAAAATAATAATTTAATAATTTTTAATCCTAAAAGTATTTTTTACAAGATTTACTATCAGCCTAATCTATTTATCAATTTAAATTCTTTTTTTATCTATGTTTGAAGCAAATACTTTTAAAAATATACAATTAAAGAATTATTTTGAAATTTTTTTGTTTGGATGAATAATAAGATTAAAATATAAATTTTACATTTTTAAATTCAATTCATTTTATAGACAAATATAAAATATAATCTTTATAAGTAATCTAATTTATATTGATAAGATATATTCTTATTGAATAAGAATAATAATAATATTAATATTATTAAATCACATTTTAGCTCCTTTTTATAAGAACAAGATCTAAGATTATCATTTTCTTTAGTCATTAAATTTGAACCAGTTATAAAGCAATTTTATGTTTATAATAAAGGATATTTAGCGAAAACTTTAAAACACACAAAATTTTGTTCTGTTAAATTAGAATCAAATTTATATTAAAATATTGATCCATTTTCCATTCCCAAAATTAATCTTTAATACAAGGAGTGAAACATAATGAAGTTGTTTCACATTCAAAATTTTAAAATTTAAGACGCTTCTATAAATTAAAATTATAAATTTAGAGTTTTTTATCTTATTTTGCATATGCAAAACTAATCAAATCATATGAAAAAGCCACACAAATTATTTCTTTATAATCTCCAAATTCATTTACAATTTATTTATCTTTAATATCATAAAATATCAATTATCCATTTTCATTTTTTTTGATATAATTTTCATTAATATTTTGATAACTTTTGAGAGTAGACAAACCTTCAAGATTGTTAGTTATTTTATCTTAATTAATACTCTTTATAATTATTTCATTGACCTTTTAGGCTACCACATATTTTATATCGCCATTTTAATTAATAACTAAGTCCAGATCCATTTTAAATTGTAGTTATTCTTTTGATATTTGAGACTTATTATAAATCCTTATGATTTATTTTATGTATAATATCATCCTTTGAATTTACAATAATAATTTGCTCTGTTTGTTCATTTCAAACATATCTTAATCTTTTAAAATATTGTTTACTTTTAGATGATATTCTCTATTATAAAAAAATGAAAATAAATAATTTCTCTTTTATGATAATAAAGACAAATAAATTTTTAATGAATGTGAAAATACTGGTGAAATAACTCATTCACATGATTTCAATAATTTTGCATATGTAAAATAAATAAAAAAACTATAAATAGAATTTTAATTTAAATAGATATATAATAGGTTTATAGGAAATCTTGTAAAGAAATATTAAGGATTTACAAATATTAAATATTATTTTTATTTGTATCTAAATATATCAATATATGTTACTGTTAAAAACTTAAAAGTATAATTAAAACAAAATACATTCTAATATTAATTATTAATATTTAGGTTGATATGTTATAGATTTAACAGTTAATTCTAGACTTTCGAAATTTTTTCTAAATTTGAGTAACAATTCAGCTATTAAATATTTATATCAAAAAACCTATTCTCTCATAAGTATTATCATTGTTTGGATCAATTGCAATCCATTTATGAAAGTATTATATCGTTTCTTAACATTTATTTTTGCTTAATAACAAATTAGCTATTTGATATTTTAATGAAAAAAAACCTATTTTCTCATAAGTATTATCATTTTTTGGATCAATTGTAATCAATTNTAAGTAATCTAATTTATATTGATAAGATATATTCTTATTGAATAAGAATAATAATAATATTAATATTATTAAATCACATTTTAGCTCCTTTTTATAAGAACAAGATCTAAGATTATCATTTTCTTTAGTCATTAAATTTGAACCAGTTATAAAGCAATTTTATGTTTATAATAAAGGATATTTAGCGAAAACTTTAAAACACACAAAATTTTGTTCTGTTAAATTAGAATCAAATTTATATTAAAATATTGATCCATTTTCCATTCCCAAAATTAATCTTTAATACAAGGAGTGAAACATAATGAAGTTGTTTCACATTCAAAATTTTAAAATTTAAGACGCTTCTATAAATTAAAATTATAAATTTAGAGTTTTTTATCTTATTTTGCATATGCAAAACTAATCAAATCATATGAAAAAGCCACACAAATTATTTCTTTATAATCTCCAAATTCATTTACAATTTATTTATCTTTAATATCATAAAATATCAATTATCCATTTTCATTTTTTTTGATATAATTTTCATTAATATTTTGATAACTTTTGAGAGTAGACAAACCTTCAAGATTGTTAGTTATTTTATCTTAATTAATACTCTTTATAATTATTTCATTGACCTTTTAGGCTACCACATATTTTATATCGCCATTTTAATTAATAACTAAGTCCAGATCCATTTTAAATTGTAGTTATTCTTTTGATATTTGAGACTTATTATAAATCCTTATGATTTATTTTATGTATAATATCATCCTTTGAATTTACAATAATAATTTGCTCTGTTTGTTCATTTCAAACATATCTTAATCTTTTAAAATATTGTTTACTTTTAGATGATATTCTCTATTATAAAAAAATGAAAATAAATAATTTCTCTTTTATGATAATAAAGACAAATAAATTTTTAATGAATGTGAAAATACTGGTGAAATAACTCATTCACATGATTTCAATAATTTTGCATATGTAAAATAAATAAAAAAACTATAAATAGAATTTTAATTTAAATAGATATATAATAGGTTTATAGGAAATCTTGTAAAGAAATATTAAGGATTTACAAATATTAAATATTATTTTTATTTGTATCTAAATATATCAATATATGTTACTGTTAAAAACTTAAAAGTATAATTAAAACAAAATACATTCTAATATTAATTATTAATATTTAGGTTGATATGTTATAGATTTAACAGTTAATTCTAGACTTTCGAAATTTTTTCTAAATTTGAGTAACAATTCAGCTATTAAATATTTATATCAAAAAACCTATTCTCTCATAAGTATTATCATTGTTTGGATCAATTGCAATCCATTTATGAAAGTATTATATCGTTTCTTAACATTTATTTTTGCTTAATAACAAATTAGCTATTTGATATTTTAATGAAAAAAAACCTATTTTCTCATAAGTATTATCATTTTTTGGATCAATTGCAATCCATTAATCAAAGTATTATATCGTTTCTAAACACTTATTATGGAATAATAACAATTAAGCTATTTAATATTTTAATTAAAAAACCTATTTTCTCATAAGTATTATCATTTTTTGGATCAATTGTAATCAATTACTCAAAGTATTATATCGTTTCTTAACACTTATTATGGAATAATAACAATTAAGCTATTTAATATTTTAATAACAAAACCAATTCTCTCATAAGTGTTATCATTTTTTGGATCAATTGCTATCCATTAATCAAAGTATTATATCATTTCTTAACACTTATTATTGAATAATAACAATTAAGCTATTTAATATTTTAATTAAAAAACCTATTTTCTCATAAGTATTATCATTTTTTGGATCAATTGCAATCCATTAATCAAAGTATTATATCGTTTCTTAACACTTATTATGGAATAATAACAATTAAGCTATTTAATATTTTAATTAAAAAACCTATTTTCTCATAAGTATTATCATTTTTTGGATCAATTGCAATCCATTAATCAAAGTATTATATCGTTTCTAAACACTTATTATGGAATAATAACAATTAAGCTATTTAATATTTTAATTAAAAAACCTATTTTCTCATAAGTATTATCATTTTTTGGATCAATTGTAATCAATTACTCAAAGTATTATATCGTTTCTTAACACTTATTATGGAATAATAACAATTAAGCTATTTAATATTTTAATAACAAAACCAATTCTCTCATAAGTGTTATCATTTTTTGGATCAATTGCTATCCATTAATCAAAGTATTATATCATTTCTTAACACTTATTATTGAATAATAACAATTAAGCTATTTAATATTTTAATTAAAAAACCTATTTTCTCATAAGTATTATCATTTTTTGGATCAATTGCAATCCATTAATCAAAGTATTATATCGTTTCTTAACACTTATTATGGAATAATAACAATTAAGCTATTTAATATTTTAATTAAAAAACCTATTTTCTCATAAGTATTATCATTTTTTGGATCAATTGCAATCCATTAATCAAAGTATTATATCGTTTCTTAACACTTATTATGGAATAATAACAATTAAGCTATTTAATATTTTAATTAAAAAACCTATTTTCTCATAAGTATTATCATTTTTTGGATCAATTGCAATCCATTAATCAAAGTATTATATCGTTTCTTAACACTTATTATGGAATAATAACAATTAAGCTATTTAATATTTTAATTAAAAAACCTATTTTCTCATAAGTATTATCATTTTTTGGATCAATTGCAATCCATTAATCAAAGTATTATATCGTTTCTTAACACTTATTATGGAATAATAACAATTAAGCTATTTAATATTTTAATTAAAAAACCTATTTTCTCATAAGTATTATCATTTTTTGGATCAATTGCAATCCATTAATCAAAGTATTATATCGTTTCTTAACACTTATTATGGAATAATAACAATTAAGCTATTTAATATTTTAATTAAAAAACCTATTTTCTCATAAGTATTATCATTTTTTGGATCAATTGCAATCCATTAATCAAAGTATTATATCGTTTCTTAACACTTATTATGGAATAATAACAATTAAGCTATTTAATATTTTAATTAAAAAACCTATTTTCTCATAAGTATTATCATTTTTTGGATCAATTGCAATCCATTAATCAAAGTATTATATCGTTTCTTAACACTTATTATGGAATAATAACAATTAAGCTATTTAATATTTTAATTAAAAAACCTATTTTCTCATAAGTATTATCATTTTTTGGATCAATTGCAATCCATTAATCAAAGTATTATATCGTTTCTTAACACTTATTATGGAATAATAATCGAATTAATATAACTATAAATTTATAGCAACCAAACTATTAAATATTTAAACTAAAAAAACCTATACTCTCAAAAGTTATATCATTTTTTGGATTAATTGCAATCCATTTATCAAAGTATTTGATTGCTTCTTAACACTTATCATAACTTAATAATAAATCGGCTATTTAATAATAAAATTGAAAAACCTATCATCTCATAAGTTTTATGATTTTTTGGATCAACTGCAATTAGTTTATCGAAGTATTATATAGCTTTTTAAGTAATTTTATCATCTTATAGTAATTCAGCTATTTAATATGAAAAACAAAAAACCAATTCTTTTTTAAACTTCCTCATTTTTTTAATTTTCAATCCATAGATTAATATCTTTCATTGCTTATTTCCACTTATTATCTAGTAATAAAGTAAATTATAGAATAAACCTTCATCAATTGATGCTTTATCACTAAGTTTATTTATAATTTATAAACAATTAATTCTTTCATTTTTTTAAATCTTTAAAATATTTAAAAGTAATTCTTTCTGCTCACAATTCAATTATTTATTCTTTTTTATTTTCTAATCTACTTGCATTTAAACTATTCCTTATATTTATTATTTAATTTCATCAATCGTATTACCTGAAAAATATAAATGAATACCATTAAAAAAATCCTCTGTTGTTATTATTTCATAATAAATAATGCCTAGTGACCAAATATCAATAGATTAATCATAAGGAATATTTCTTACTAATTCTGGAGCAATGTAATTAATTGTACCAACATTCTATGTGTATATAGTGTTTTCCATTTTAGATGTGCCAAAATCAATTAATTTTATGATTATTTTTTTGTTTTCTTAATTGAAAAAGTAAACAAAGTTTTCTGGTTTTAAATCTCTATGTATTAAACTATATTTATGAAATTCATTTACACCTTAGACCATCTAAATTTCATATAAATATTATACTTAAATAAATACATCATCTATTATTATAGTCTCATTGTTTAAAACAAAATTATTTTCCATCAAATCTTTAACTGATCCATCTGCTAATTCCATAACAATTATTTTTCCCTTTTTAATATTCTAAAAAGCAATTATCTCTATAATATTAGAATGTTTCTTTCCCTTTAATATTTTTAACACTTCATCTAGATAATCTGAAGAATATTTCTATTTTTTAATAAGAACTTTTTTATTATTGGATTTAATTATTCCATTATATAAATCACCCTCATTTGCTTTGTAACTTAACCTTTCCTGCAATATTTCGAGACCATCCACTATAATTGTCTTATTATATTATTTCATTTAATTTATCAAATAAATTGAAAATAAAATAAAATAATATTAGTCAAAGAAACCATATTTCAATCTCTAATTTTTTAATGTCTTCAATAATTTATTTTATCAATTTTTCAAATGAACTGATATCAAAAAATTATATCTTTTGTTTATCTGAAATAAATCCATCACCTAAAACTTCATCTTTGATTTATGAAATATATTAAGTAGCTTAAATAAATTATATAGGAATAGTCCTGAATAATTAATTTAATTAATTATTTTTTTAATGAATATTTCTTTATTTATCTTCAATCTATTTTATTTTTTGCTCTTTAATTTTTTATTTATCAAAATTCAATGCTTTTTCTAATATTTTAATAGATTCAATTTCTTATAATAATTAATAACTCAACTGAGTTCAGTAGACAAATAGTCAAAAATTAAGAGATTGTTTTTATAGATTCAATTCCTGATTAACGAAATAAAATGATAATATTTTATTCTATTTAATTGTTAGTAATTTCTTTTTTTCTAATCAAAATCGAATGTAATATAATCAAATAACATTTTCATTTCACCTTCCTGCTAAATTAATAAAAATTCCTAAAATATTTAAAGGAATGGGAAAATATTTCCAGATTCTTTTCTTGATTATAATTTAAGATATATAATTTTTTGTTATAAGATAACTATTCAATTTTCTAGGTTCTTAAATATTCCTTCCATTTTTATATTTCTTAATCATAAATCTCAAAAAGTAAAAATTTTTCTCCTTCCAAAATTGAATCTAAAAGTTTAGTTTGGACTAGATCTCAAAGAAATAATAGTATAAACTGCATTAGATAAAAAGTTAGTTTATAATTTTTTTCCTTCTTATGAATCAGTGTTAAGTTGAATTAAACATTAATAAATGAAATAAAAATCCAAAAGCTTTGACATAAATTTTTAAAGTTGAAAAATTATTTTTAGCCAGATTCTATTGCTACTTCTTAAATTATTTACACAAATTCTCTTTTTAACAAATTGTTAATATGTTATATTATGATTTAACCACTAAAATCCAATTAAAACCTCTTCCTTCTAAAATTTATCAGATATCAAGCGGCTTTTATCTTTTATTATTTTTTTAAAATCCTTAAGTTTTAAGAAAAATCTTCAGGAATGTTTTTTTAGTTTACATCTTAAATTTTAGTATCTGCAATTTAACTACCACAACTTGTTTTTGACTTTATAAATCAAATGATGAAATGACAATTATTTGATTTTAAAAGGAGCCATAAAAATAGAAAGATTCTATTTAATCTAATGAATTTTATTGTTTAGATTTTATTTGCTATTTTCAATATTCATAAGATCTCTTTATTAAAATAAATTAGTTATCAAAATTTTAAATTTATATAATAAATATATTTTGTAACTGTCATTCTAATTCATTATAAACTTAAGAGCATAAAATAGTTTTCTTTAATTAATATTCCTTTCATTTATTATGAATCTTCATATAATAATTATATTAATCAACAATAAATAAAGCCAAATTTGTCAATTTATGAGCGATATTTTAATGGGATTTGTTATTTAAGTTTTAACATTATTTTATATTCATATAAATTTTTCAATTTTCTCATGAAATTACTATATCAATTACTGATAAGATTAAAATTTTTAAATATTGTATTACTAGCTTAAAAGTTGTGTAAAGAATGAATAGCTAATAAAAATTTTGCAATAGTAAAGAAATAATTAGGTATAATTATTTACAAAAAAAAACCAAAAACTTTATAAATAGTTATCATCTGAATGAATTATAGATTAAACTTTATTAATTATTAAATGTCAAAATTATTTAAGAAAGTAAATATAGAACTAGAAATAATGTGAATGTAAAAATCTATTTTATAATTTTTTTAAAACTAACTGTGATTTATTATATTTAAAATGCTTTCAAAATAAAATTCTCAAATATTTTTCTTTTAGCAATTCTCTCCATTTGTTCCTCTTAGTGTCAACTGATCAAAAACTTGTAATCTTATGTAATATTTATCATTAATTTCTTCTTCAACAAAAAACATAGTCATTTTATTAATTCATATTTCCTTATTACCAATTTTTCTCATTTATATTAAAATGTTTAACATAATTTGTATACATTAATTATTTCAATCAATTATTCTAAAACATTTCATATTGAGATATTTTAATAGTTTTATTTTATGTTTATATAAATTTCATTTTATATATTGAAATTATTTATATGTAAAAATTAAAGTTATGAAATCTAATATTATTCTAATTAATTAATGAAATAAATCATGCAGTTAATAAATTTTAAAAGTTAAATTCCATATTTTATAATTATTTAAATTGAAAAAAATCAAAATATAATTATTAAAATCTAAGTTAGTCATTAAATTGTAATGAATATATAAATGAAATAGACTCTATATAATATTATCAAATAATGTAATTATAAAATAAAATAATTGTGCTATCATATCGCAACAATGAAGAATAGAGAAAAGAGAGTAAATTTTGGATAAACAGATATCATGATATATTAATTGAAAATTATAATAGAGATAGCATAGCAAGATATTCTTGACTATAATCAATCAAAATTCTTAATATTTATATTTATAGAGGTACATTTAAATATCTTTGTAAAGTTTGAGAAAAAGTAGAAATTGATTGCTAATATGATGTTCAATTAAAAAAAGAAAATATGAGTTGCACATTGTTTTTATGTTAGGAATTATTGATGAAAAAATAAATAGAGAGTGACATTTTTTTATCGTTCCCTAAAAAAAAAAGAATATTATTCTCATTTGTATTATTCAAGCAAAAGACTGAATTTTATTGATAGATTATCTACAGCTATATGTGCAGCTTCTTTATGTTTAGGTGTTTTAATCTATTCATCTATTAAAGAAGGACTTATTTACTTAGAAATAATTATGATCATAATTGTTGCTCTTATTAATTTTGCCTTCATTCTTCTTATGATTTATTATCTATTTGAAGGATATCTAATTAAATTTTAACCTTAATTAGATAAAATAAGAGATCAATTAAGAATACATCATCCAGAAATTATGGATAAGTATCCTTGGAGTAGAAAAATGCTTTATAACTAAGCAAAAATGAAAGATAAAGTTAAAAAGTTATGGGCTTCTTTAAGATATTAAACTAGAAAATGAATTAATAGAAGAAGATAAGATCCTTAAGCACCCTTATTTTTAAATGAAATTAGTGATCAACCAATTTTATTACCTCTCTCTGACTCTGATAAAACAAAATAATGTAATTATTGATTATATTCAATTAGAAAAAACCGTTAATCATTCAGACTCACCTAATTACTAAAAAATATACCCTGAATAAGAGGGTTTAGAATCAGAACAAATCAATTTAAATTAAAAAAATTAGGAGTAATGATTATATAATATATCATTCTCAATTTAATTATTTTATTTATCTAATCTTAATACTTAGAACTATTTATTTGATTTATATACCAATCTAGTTGTTAATGGCATAATCAACAGTTAATTTTAATTTAAGACTATAACAAAATTGAATTTATTTAATAGCTAATTAAAAAAGGAAATTATGCCATTTATGAATTGCAAACTTTTTAAATTTAGATGAATTTGTAACTAAATTAATCATGATAAATTTAATAGTTTATTAGGTTTAAATACATTATCCATAAACTCTGTTGTAATTTAAAACTTTCTTCTCTTAATTTATATGTAATTTAATCTCTACAGTGGTTGTTTGACATGCCCAGCTGAAATTAAAGTTAAAATTCATTATTTTTAAATACTATCTACTTTAATTTACTGCAACTTATTCTAATCGTTTCTATTTTAAAAACTTAATTATTTTGATGTTCAATTATAATATAAACTATGAATTTCTATTCTCATAAACAATATTTGAATAGTAATTAACAGAAATTAAGAAAGTTTTTTTAAATTGCTTCATTAATAATAAAATTTTATTTTAATGGTATAAAGTTTTTGTAGAAAATATCTTCAAAAATATAAATAATACATATAAAAAAACTGAGTATTTTATTTAATAAATATGCTTGAAATATTCTTTAGAATATAGGATAGAAATTTATGAGAAATCTACATTATCTGTTTTATATTTATTGAATATTAAATACCTTCAATTCTTAGTTCTGTAAAGAAAAAAATATTTAGAATTAGAAATTAATTTATTAATAATATTCAGCTAATGGTTCTTTAAATTTCTGTCCTGAAAATATTGTTTCTAAAGTCAATAATATACGAAAATTGTTTAACAGACACAATTACAGACTGTAAATACAATGATTTTACAATAACAGGAATAAGTAATGCAACTTTAGAAAGTTGTGGTTCAAGTCCTAAAAACTTAATGATAGGCCCTTATGGATTTTAAACTACTGTAACAAAGACTTTTACAAACATTCCACCAAATAATTAATTAGAATTCTCTGTAGGAATATGGAAATTAGATTCGTGGGATAAGGAAGGTTTTGAGGTTTACGCTAATGATATATTATTGGAAAATTTAATTTTGGATTTGCATGAAGGAACTATGATATGTAGAAGTGTAATTTGGGAAGATAAATTAGTCATTGTTACAAAGAAATTTTAAATAACAGAATCTCAGGTAACAATAAAGTTAAAAGACAATTTAAATAAAGATGTTTGGGGAGAAGATCTTTGGGATGGTATTTAAATAAATAAAATCAAGAATCATGGGGATTTAGAGAATTTATTTTAAGAGTTTCTGTTCCTTGTGTTAATTTTTATAGTGAATGCAATTATTTGGGAACATTATTCTAAATATGTCAAGGAGAATAATCAAAAATGTAGCATATAATTCCATTTCAGATCAAATCCATACTTATGGGTCCTGGAATCATTGTAAAAGTGAAAGGTCCAAACTATTTTGGAGGATTAATTAAAGAATTTACTACTTCAGACCCTTGCTTTGATAGTTATTAAGTTATACCTAATTTATTATTTCTTAGTTTCCAAAAGTTATATATGAAGAATGAGCATAACATAAATTTTATAATATATATGTTAATTTTTAATGGTTCAGTATTTAATATTAAAATAAATATTTCCGATAAAATACAAGTATCAAAATTTAATCAAAGTTTATTTGAATTTTTGATCTAGGGTTTCAATATAGATTTAAATGTATATAAATCGATAAGTTTCTTAGAAATTAAAAAGAAAATAAAATAAGATTCTTTAACTCAAATATTTAGCTTGTTAGAGTAGCTCTTTGGATTATAAAAATTAGATTAACTAAATAAAATGATAATATTTTATTCTATTTAATTGTTAGTAATTTCTTTTTTCTAATCAAAATCGAATGTAATATAATCAAATAACATTTTCATTTCACCTTCTTGCTAAATTAATAAAAATTCTTAAAATATTTA